TGATGGTGACAGTAATAACTACAACGATGTGTTAAATATGAGATGCCAGCGACCAAATAGTCAGTGATGAAAATTGTAAAGTACCATCATATGGACTGTTTATTATAATACCTTGGGATCAGATATCTTAGAAAGGTATATCTACTTTGAAAAGGACCTAGATTCTGATGGTCAGCTGGCGATGCTCCTTCTTTTCCTGCCAGTTCTCTTCTGATGCCCACATCGTTGTCTAATGGACAGAGCAGATGCTCGATAGAGGATTTTTTTACCAGAAGTTTGAGTCTTGAAGTTCGTGACTAATCAAGAGCCTGATGTCAATCAGTTTACCAGACTTCATGAGAATTATATACTTTACTTAGGTAGTAAGAGTAGGAGTTTTGCTAGCCAAGAAGGAAATTAAAATATCGGAATATACAAAAGCAACGATATCTCCTTTTGTCTCTTTTGTATAGATAGTTACTGTAACATCTAATTTTGCCACGGGGAAATTGAATCAAGCTTTCGGTGAGAGTTAAGAACTGTGTAGGACATCTGGTGTTGAAGAGTAGTAAGATGAATTCGAAGTCCAGATGTGGACACCACAGAAAACAATGAGAATATTGGCAACAATTATGATAACAACAACTTGACACAGCAATACCCACACTCATCAGCAAGAACAAATGAAGGTCTGCAATCATCACTGCGATCCAAAAACATTCTGCGGCCTGAGCAGAATGGTCAATTCCCTGCTCCAAAAAGCCTAACAACTTTTGACATCCCACATTTCTGGATGATTCCTTTGTACTTCTGGTCGAAAAAGATTCATACCAACGTGGTTGAGTAGAAGCCTAAGAACCAAAGGAAATTTATGTCTAAATATTGATTTGAAAGAAGGGACGACTTTTGATGGAGTGGATTCAGTATGAGAAATCAACATCTTACAATAGAAACAGGTACGGATTATGGAATATAAAAATCCATAGCCATTCGAATCTTACTGCAAAGGTTTTGACACAAGATCAGATTCCACAACATGCTCGACTTGCTCTCGTAGTGCATCAGTAACTAGGAGGAATCTAGAATGAAATTTGTAAATTGCCACGATGACCACGGAATTTGAGAGAGTAGTACATCAGAAGAGAGCCGTGGCAGATATAATAATGAAAATACCATGGAAAAGTATTGTTGATGAAATAAGATGATGCTCTAGCCTCCAACCCGACGATAGTGAAATAGCTAGTGAAAACAAAACAAATTTCTCGCCAAAGTATAAATTGACCTTATAAATCTTACGGCATTCTTAGCGAATCGACATCCCAGATAATTCTGCTTTCCACTTCGATCTCATACTCGTCGTAGGGACATGCTTAACTCAATAACGCGTGTTCGGAATAAAGTGACTTATACAATTGTGAAAAGATTGCTTAGAACAAAAAATTCCCGTGCGAGATGAATTAGAATAGAGCGTATGAACGTGAGTCGCAGCTAACATTCTTCATCTCGATTATTTCGTCGCGCTAGTCTCAACCCAATGTCTGAAGCAGCAATCTATGCCATAGCCTCGGTCTTAGACGACCCCGCTCTCTGTCAAAGCCACTAATAAACAAGCTTGTTTGTGATCTCTCGAATCTAGAGAAGGTGCTTGGCATTAAAAAATGGAGAAATGGCTGTACCATTTTAAAACGCAAAAGTACGATTTTATCTACCTTGTTGTCCGCAAGTGAACTAGAACAAAGAGAGATAAAGCTTGAATAAAGCTGTGTATATTGTATTAAAAAATGAGCATCTACATTGCATTAGAATTAATTAACATATCCAACTACTTCCCGTTCATCAACCAGCAATCGCATGTATTATTATCACTATATCTACAAGTCCCAACGCCGTGTCCATTCTTCAATCATTGAATTAGACGTAATGCAATCTTCCTTTCTTTTCCACCAAAGCGCTCATATTTCGCCGTTTGCCGTTTCGTCATTGAGCTCCTTGAAAATATTCACCCACTCATGATCGTGTTGTCATATCGCTCATCCATACATTCATCTCTTTCCAATTCACTTGAACCTCGAATTTTGCACCGAAATTTTACTGATTAGCTCCAATATCCTGTGCCCTGGCGCCAGCAGCAGTCTTTTCATCATAATTCCTCACCGCAGCACTCGTACTCTCCACACTTACATTATCATCAAAAACATCCACTTTAGTGGTGGCAAACTTTCTCGCACTAATGCCTCTCTCAAACAGTAGATCGAGTTCAGCGAATGAGCGGCCTTGAGGTTCAGGTAGGCGAAAATAGGTGTAGATGATGCAAAGGAAACAGATTCCGCCCTAGAATTCGATATTAGTCTACAGTATTCATCACATGCTTTGAAAAGAACATTATATCAACATACCCAGAAGAATCCTGCATAATTTTTCCAATTCCAAGCACCAGGATTGAGCATATATGGTGTGATAACACTGCAGACAATGCCCACAATATTATACAAATTTCTGCCCAAAACCACAGTCTTGATTTGAAGTCTTCTGGTAGACAACTCAGAGACCAAAGAATAGCACACCGTGCCGACTGTAAGTTGATATGCCAATGCCCATATCAACATAATAGAGCCAGTAGCAAGCGATGCCTCGGTTTTGTGCGCCGCTGGGACGAGACCTAGGAATCCAAGAATAAAAAGCATACTGCACAAGATACAGAGACCATAAAGGTAGAGAGATCTTCGACCAATTCCCAAGCTCATGAGGAACCAGGCTCCAAAAACGCCAGCCATGTTAATACCATATTGACCTAGGGCAAAGTCGTAAGATGTCGAGGTAGGTAGTCCAGCCTGTTGCAAGAAATAGGTTGAGTAGCCCGAAAAAGAATTTCCACTGAGGTTTTGCATCGCCCATACCATGCAGACAATCTGTTGAACGTCAATTTCTAATCTTTCCATATCATTTCACGGGGAATTTTACCTCAGTTCTACGCCTGTCTACACCTCTGAAGCAATCTATATAGCTTGCTCCTTTGGTGATCTTCTCCTCGATTGCCGTAGTATGAACCATCATCGCGATAGTCTCGTCAGCATCAAAGTTTGTTTCCTTGTTTAGACTGGTCAATCGAAGAAGCGATTGCTTAGCTTCTGCAACCCTTCCCTTTCGAACAAGCCACCATGGAGATTCTGGAGCGAGTGCAATACCAACTAGAAGTGGAACAGGCCACATCCATTGGAGACTGTAAGGAATTCTATAAGCCCATTCGTCAGTTCGTGGCAACATGGATTTGATAACTCCAATACCAATGACTTGGCCCAATCCCCAACAGAAATTAACATAGGTAGTGAGGTATCCACGAAGTCCCAGAGGACAAACTTCTGATGCATAAGTAATAGTGAGCGTTTGAAAGACTCCCCATGGCTACCAAATATTAATAAAAGTTCCGACAAGGTTGAGCTGAGGTAGACTTACAATACCGCAGAGAACTTCAGCAACTTCTAGTGCAATGACGTCTTGAGCAGTGAAAAAAATTGCCGTAAATGCAATGATTAGACTCAAACAGGTCATGACCGTGTAACGATATCCAAATTTTTCGGAGACCCAACCATTGATAAACAGACCAATGATTTCACCAACATTAGCACCCTGTTGGACACGTGAGCAATTAATTTGCAATGTTAGTGATGTAATTATTGACTTACGTTACTCAGACCTGCTTGCCATTTAGCTGGCACCTGCCATGTGCCATCAGGTAATTGTTCGCCGTATTTCTCATTGAATTGGGGAAATGCATCTAAAAGCTCAGTATGACGAACCTTCCGTGGAGTCTTGAGTCTATTGAACTTACAGAAGTTGCTCAGTAAACACACGTCATATCCCTCCATAGCAATACATGTCGAAATCAGAAGAGACCATCCGATAGCTTTGGGATACAATCTGATTCCCTGGAGTAGTGACATGTTATGTTCCTTTTCCGTAGACGCTTTCGCATCCTTAATCATCTGTTCCATTGAGTTCGAGACTTTGAGATGGTCCTCTTCAGGAAAATGGAGAGGTTTCTCATTGTCACCAATGTGATCGCGATTGTGAATGTTGCCCATCGTGTTATCGGTATCCGACTGTGCGGCCAGATCATCAGATGCTGAAGATAGAGCCATCTTCTGAACTTGGGGTCCCCAGGATTCTTATGCTGCCTGCCTATCGCTTCCACTTCCAACTTCCAACTGCCCTCGTGCAGGACAAGAGAATGCGGGGTATGATTGTCCAGGTCTTTGGGTGTTTGATCACACTTTGACCTGGGTTGGAGGGGAAAAGAATCCTCGAATTGGAAGTTAAAGTTACGGTTTTCAAATATTTTCAGGGTTAGTCAGTAATAGCGGGGATCGACGGACTGCACGGCAACATTAAATGCCTGTTGGGTGGTTCGAGTGGTCGAGCGATAGCGTAAGCGTTGTCCGGATAACATGCATGAATAGTTGACAGCCAATCATAAAGAAGTCATTCAGGAAGTGAATTTCGAGTGGTGAAAATTACTTGCAATTGATCACATACAGCAATTCAATGGCACGAGGATCTTCAATGTGGTAATGTTAGAGAACGATTTTCCGCCTGAACTTGATGGGAACTGGCAATTTGCACACCGAGGCGTTTTTCGCCATATGATAGTGGTTCTCAAATAATGCGTTGGCCATTAACATTCATATTAGCTTATGATTAATTTCCAAACGGCGGTATCCCCTAATGAAAAGGCTTCGCACCAATTGACATGTCGAACCACCAATTAGCTTCTGGTACCTTTTTCGAATCTTCCAGAAAAGGAAGTGCCCGCGTGCTATCAGATAGCGGTCTGCTACTAGTACCTAGGCAAGCTCGAGGCAAGATTATCGAATTGGAAAGATGGATCATGGAATTGCTATCGGTGAATTAAACTTCCGATCGTGAATTGTGTAAATTTGGATTAAATTGGATACTCCACTTGGTGAAATGATGACCTATCATAGGCTCTTGACTCTTGTTCTTCTCCAGAAGTCCAGACGTTAGCTTCAAGTTTTGTTGTGTTGTGTATGAAAAGGAAGTCCGGATGAAGCGAGGGGCGATGAAGGGGGATGACGTTTCCGCTCTTTGAGTTGCTACACGTGATGACCTTGGAGAGTGTACGAAGTAGACTCGGAGAAATTTTGTGCGGCCTGTGCAACATTACCTTGAATGCTGTACTCTAACTTCAGGGCTGAGATTTCATTGTATATTCAGTCATGAGAAGAAGTCGCGAAGCTGATGATAAATTGCCCAAAGTCACATGACTGTGAAGTTGAACGTCTGATTCTCTCTCTGGCTCGTCTGGCAACTGGTTTCTTGGGCCATTCCGTGATTCTTCGAACCGTTCATAATAGTAGAATATCTTAGAACATCTTTGTACATGACCTTGATTTATACACGAAACTGATATTGGTAAAACATGTTCGATCACTCGATTCTACAAATTTTCCAGTTCAAGAAACAGCCATGCACGAACTTTGTTCATCTACCATTGCCACCGACATCACTATCACCGTACACGACTGAGAAACGATCCAATATTACATCCCTGATATTCCTCGACTACATTATTCTTATCGGATAATCGCGTGATCAAGGATGCCGTAGAAAATCAATACATGCTCCAATTCCTCAACGCTATCCAATATACGGTTCAAACCGTCCTAAATATCAATTCAATCTATTATACATATTCGATCTTTAGCGATTTAAATGACCACTTCGAGGAAATCACATAGTAACCAAGGATCACTTCAAGTCATCCCAACAATCAACAATGAAGAAAGCTTTCGAGAAACTTCGATTGAAGATCTCCAAATACAATGACAATGACCCACAGCCGCCCCCATTCAAACCCATGTCAACACTACCCCAAGATCCAGCATCCATCGGTCTGAAAATAATCCATGATTCTCCCGATGCAATTATTGAGTACTTCTCTTTATTCTTCTTTTATCATCAATTACTGACATTCCTAGCATCATAGCCATTCACGGTCAAAATGGCCATCCCATCAATTCCTGGACAAACAGAGATAATGGAGTACTTTGGCTACGCGATCTTTTACCCGGGATCTTGGATGCATATCCAGGTATGAGAATTCGAGTACTCAGCTATGGATATGCACGTCGAGACACCGTCGAGGTTATCGGCGCTGGATTAATGAAGAGCATTGGAGAGTTAAGAGCCGAGACAAAGAGTGAAGGGAGGAAAATAATTTGGTGTGCCCATAGTTTTGGGGGTCCCTTATTAAGGGCTGTATGTACTCTCTCGACCTGATGTGTTTCATATTGTTTCTATCTTGCAAGTTAAGAAATGACTTTTGCTAACAAAATCAGGCAATATCCATCGCTCCGCCTTCCAGTGATATCCAAGTCTCAACCCGTGCCTTCCTATTCTTCGGAGTAGCCAAGAACATGGGATTAGAGAATCTAAGCATGGTGGTTGCATTGCCAGAAGCCACATTGAGTAGCGAGATGAAGGAGTTAAGGAAATAATTAATGTGGTTGAAAATGGGAAGTGAGAAATTTGATCCATTGTGTGAGCATTTAGATTGGAAAATTGTGTGGTTTAAAGAGGTAGGAAGCGAGGCAGAGAAGATTAGGCATTTGGATGGGGTGGGTGGGAATGAAGAGATGAGTGAAGATGGGGAGGGCAAGCTTCAAGTTGTGGTTAGATTAGGGAAGATGCATGGCGCTATGGTTAGGTTTGCTGATGCTGAGGATGAGGATTTCATGGTGGTGGTGGAGAAGACGAGGAAAATTGTAGAGCGAATCACAAAAAGGTAATAATGCAGTCTAGAGCTAATTTATAAAAGGCACCGAAGATCCGGAAATTCTTTATCTAGAACTCTCAAGTTTGCGTGATGTAACATCAATTGTCTTTAAATGCACAAAGAGTGTTTGCAGCTCGTTTGACCTCGATTTTATCCGAGAGGCAGGGTAAGGCTCCCCAGAAATATGATGCTTAGATTGACTCAAAATGAATACTCAGAAGGCTCCAGCCTGTAGTTCGTCAAGGCGCAGTATCAATGGACCAGGTGATGTATATCAATTAGATCAATTCTGTTCCTGACAGATTTGGTGTTGCGGAATCATTAGTAGTTGATGAGTCTGATGTCAAGAGGGTACATTGAACTGCCTTGGGCCTCGCAATAAGTAATTATAGGTCCGAGAGACAAGAGATTGATGAAATCCAGTGTAGGAGTTACACAAAAATTAATTCGTTGAGGGCCAACTTATCGTATAAGCTTCCATGAGTATGGAAGGCGAAGAGTTCAGTCGAAAGAGCTCCTAAGTATCTCGATGACAACGTGTGCCCCCAACAGTAAGAAGACGCGATTGCACCAAACCCGGAAGCTCCACCCAATTTCGGTGTCTGAAGGTTTCCCCTAATACTAATGAAGAAGCATTTCCAGAACCGGCTGTCTAGGCACCACCCGCTAATTATAAATATACCCCTGAGCCTACCAACAACTTTTCGAAGCCAGCCATACAGAACAACGACATCAAAGTAAAGAATGGAACATTCGATCAGCGCAATAAGTCAAGGAATGGTATGTTACGGCACGCCCATGTTTCGCAGGCGAAACAGCTACATCCAGAAATATTGCTTGATCTAGAACCAAATGTGTCCGTTTCAGAGGATCGAGAGAAAAGTCCTGGTTCAATCCATGATACTTCTGAGTTTCTCATTAGTTTCGGTGACTACATCACAACATTACAACAACCGAATGCGGTCGTCATTGATGAGAGAAGTCAAGCGCGAAATTTAGGCCCACAGGCTATTCAGCGTGCCTTCCTTTCTGGAGATCTGGATGAACCCAAGGCAGCAATGATAGGAGATTTCGAGCATCCTATCTTCCCGAAAATTACTTTTACGACACATCACTAAAGGCAATAATCTGTCGGCGAAAACCAGAAGAATGGAATCCTGGATCGAAAACCAAACAGAGAGATCACGCAAGTGATGATGAGAGCTATCACGGCAAACGGCACGTGGGCTTTGCAGAATGTTGCAGAATATCTCTGCGACGGAAAATAAGGAATCCTAAGCTATACGAATGAGATGGTCATTCCAGCTCAGATGATGAGCCTCCATCACCAACCTATGGGGTGGGAATAGTATCCTTTTGGAAATTTCGTCAACCACTGGTCGAAGACCGGAGCAGAAATTCAATATATGATGATCGTCTAAGACGCGCATCATCTAGAATATACTATCGATCAAAGTCTCCGCTGCTCAAAAGTAGCTCATCAGATCGCCATTCGAGATCATGGCCACCTTGAAGAATCTCGTTTAGCGGCATGGGTCCAACAATTCTCTTCATGGGCAACTCCACAACATATATTCCTCCCATAATTTTGTTTGCTGGAAGAAATACATCAAGGCCCCCATCGCCTAGAAGCGAATCATCATCTGATGATTCGAGACTACCATCACCAGAAAGAGATTCCTTACACTTTCCTCCCTTGTGTTCTCATTAGAATCATTTGGGATATGTGGGGATACAATGACCGCAAAAACAGGTGCACGGCTTGCTTAGAGCATAAAAAACCATGGAAGGACTGTTCATCAGAGGCTATGATCTATTCGAGAAAGAAAAAGAAGTCTTTCTGGCATTTAACAGCTTTATCTACAAGCTTACTCCCTGGACTAGAAAAGCTATCAGTGCTACAGATACTCACTTTGCGACTTTTAATCATTCCGAGCAGACCCGGTAGACTGAACAGGACGAACCATCCAATTTTTTTTTTATTAGAAAACTGGACACTGTGACGATTGAATATCACTGCCACCAAACTTTCTTCCAGATATCTCATCCCATTCCTCAAAAGTTTGAACGTCTTGGAAACATTCAATTTCGACGCTCACCCATGGCAGTTTTATGGTGAAGGAGATGAATACAACATTGACTTTGGGAAGACTATTCAAGGATTATCTCATCTTAAGCATAATTTGAGAGATTTGAGAGTGTTTCTAGGTACTCATGTACAGAGAAGCACGGATTTTCGGTTCCACAAGACATCAGTTCTGACGAAGTTGGAAATCAGTGTTTGGAACTTTCTGCAGGCTGCAAAGAATGCCATATCACCAATTCTAAGCTCGGCTTTGATCCATATATCTCCTTATAAGCTGCGATCGCCCAAACTCAATTGCAAATGAATAAGCGTGTGTAGTCTAGAAAATATTATACAGTCCATGAAAAGACTGGTGAATGAAATGAAGGGGGGGCACGACAAATCTGAAGGAGCTTCATCTCAAACATTTTCCTGAGCATGATTCTCACTCCTTCACAAGCCATATAGAATGTGGAATATACCAACGCCACCCCTTCTTAGCGGAGCTCCCAGCTGAGTGCCAGTAGAATGGGATTACTCTGAGAGTTTGGTGAAGACTAATGTTGTTCCTATTGGTAATGTAGGTGGAAGAGTAAGAGTGAAATTCAATTATATGTCAGAGATGAACCAGTCCTGTGAAAGTGAAATTTTTACAGTTTGAGCCTGCCAATTCAATATTACGCATCATGTATGGCACTGGTGTCTTAATTTTGTGACTTCCTTCCCTTCGTATACTATGATGCCCTTCAAAATTCACAAACTCATCAATTCAGTCATCGAGATTTTCTATTGTATCGCTACTATCGAGACTGCCGTTCAATGATTAAAGTCTTCCAATAGCTCGATCCAATCAAATAGTATCTTACATTTAAATGGATATCATAATCGCTTTCAAACGTGCAGAGTTTGTATCTAGTGTTTCAGTTCCAAATATAATATCCTGCTCATTGATTCTGATTGTATTTCTGGAATTCTGACTGGAAACTGTGAAGAGGAGATTTGTCGAAAGTCTTTTCAAAGCCTGCTTGTTTGTTTATTCCTCACAATGAAAGCCAACTGCGGTTTCCCCATCCAGAAACCAAGAGGCAGCCACTCTTTTGATCTTGCTCTTAATACGATTAATGTTCTCTTTGGGTAGGCACGGCTAAGTGAGATACACTCTGTCACCTTGACTGGTTCAATCATTACTACAATGATAGAATAACATACATCCATTGCAAATCTTCTCTTTATCATTTTGTTTAGCAAAGATCCTTTACCGCACAGCAACATGTCTACAGCACTTGATGTCTTACCGAATGAGGTCATTAATGGTATCGGATTATGTTTACCTAGAGGTTCCCTGGCAAAGCTGGCACAATGCTCCAGTCACTTCTATGCTATGTGCATTGAATTGCTATACTCTCACTGTACTGTGAAGGATCAGGAAATGTTGGGGAGACTGATCAACACTATTCTCAATAGAGCGGTGATTGGACCCAGCATCCGTTGGCTCGACCTACGCCAATTCAACTGGAACGCATTTTGCATCTCAAGCTGCCGGAAGCCAACTTCGCGTACTCTGTTCAAAAAGGCTATATCGGTGCAAAACAACTTGAGTTCTTGGAATATCTCACGCTGGACGAACGGTTCTTATTATGTCTCATCCTGGACTCTGATAACAGTACTTCTTTGCCTCGTTCCAGAATTAAAGGTACTGGCACTTCCAGCCCTGGAACCAGAGCGCCACTTTCATGGATACTTCTCTAGAGGAAGTCATTACGATGTCTCTACATTTAGTGGCTTCGTCGAATTGATCGGAAAATACCAGCAGTGTATATTGCAAGACCGCTTGCCTCTAATGGTGCTTACAAAGTTGGAGAGCGTAACAATTGGAACTGAGTTTTATGATAGAAAGGCAGAATTGCATTTCATCATGCCACTTATTAATTTAAGATCGGTGAAAAGAGTCAAGGTTTTCTCGTTGTGTTATCACGGGCGCTCGAACAGTCCTAGGGTAGTTTGCACAAAACCGATACCCAATATTGAAAGTTTGGACTTCCTTTCATGTACTTTTGTAGGTGACATTGCCACTTTTCTCGGACGATTTACAGGCATTCAAAGATTCTGTTTGATTCAAGTTCCGCGAATCACGTATGAAAAGCTCAGCGAGATGCCTCTGTCTGTTGACAACATTTTGGGAGGATTGACATCCTCCAAACACTCATTAGAACACGTCGATATCAGTTTTGCTTCTCGAAAACCGGATGGCGAGCCCGTCTCACTGTCTGAATTCAAACGACTACAGCTTCTAAAGCTTTGGCCGTGTCCTGCAATATGGTCGAAAGGAAGCCCAATTAAGTCTGAATCTCAGTTGATCAATTGCCTGCCGCCAGGATTGAGGAATTTGGTATGCAAACCATTTTTTGATGAACACGATGTTGTTAGCTTGGAACAACTCTATCAGCTTGTCGCCGAAAAGGAAAAATATGTTCCTGAATTGCGAAAGATTGAACTGATTTGGGATGACGCTAGTCTCGCATATAAATGTGAAGATTGTGAGAAGCATTGCGAATTGAACGAGAAAATCCCTTTCTTTGCGAAGCTTATTGCAGAGTGTGAAGCAAAGAATATTCATATTGTCTCAGGTCACCCCTTATGGAAGCTAACGGCAACCACCTAGAGCCGGAAGACTTTGGAGGAATCTAACGACCTTTGGGAGTTTATTATAGCTTTTCTGCTGGCACTCTCAACTTCTGCAGTCATTGTGGAAACTTGCAGAGTAGGCCACGGAGCTTTCATAAGGTTACATGTATCATTAATATTTGCTGGCTGTAAGAGGAGGACTTCAATGATTCTCCGGGCTTACTTTTGACTAAGTCGTGGGTATAGAGCTTTTAAAATACTCCACTCATAACGCCAATATCAACAATCTGATCTGCTCTGATTCGTGTGATTTATGTGATTTGTGTGATTCAAAAGTCACATGCTTTGAAATCCATTGATGTGCTTGACCAGAACCTAGGTGGGGTTAATTATACGTACTTATTACAGGGGCTCTTCCGAGGAGGCACCACTAAAATTGTGTACGCTAAAACTTTAAATCGTCATCACCTCATACCTATTACCACATCACCACCAAACCCACCAAACCAAATCGAATGAAGATCATTGTCGTCGTTAATAGAGCTTTGCATACATGGACAGCAATGTTTGGTCGAAGATTATGTAATTCTGCATGTAATTGCGACGCTTATGGTGGGGTTTAGCCTTGGAATGGCGTTGAGTGACGAAGACAGAGATATGGGACGAACGAGGGGATACGTATAAAGAGAGCAGAAGAGCCCACCTTAAAGATCTTCTAACTCCTCGATCGAAAGACTTTTTACTTCGAAGAAAATACAGACAACATATTCACATACAAATATACAAAATGCCTCGACTTCCAACTCGTAAACTGGGCAGATATGGCCCTGAAGTAGTCGCCCAAGGCTTCGGAACCATGGGCCTAAGTGCTTTCTAGTGAGTTTCATGGACCCTTCTCTATAGTTCCTCGCGCAGCACAATTTCTTCATCTTGATGAACCTATCTAACTCTCCATCAGTGGCAGCACCGAATCAGATGAAGAGCGTTTCAAGGTCCTCGATCGCGCTTACGAACTTGGACAGACCAACTGGGACACCGCAGACATGTATAACGACTCCGAAGATCTAATTGGGAAATGGTTCAAACGCACAGGGAAGCGGGATCAAATATTTTTGGCATCCAAGTTCGCCTTCAAAACCAATGAAGATGGAACTCGTATTTGTGATACCAGTCCGGAATACGTCAAGGCTGCATGTGCGAAGAGTTTACAAAGACTGGGCGTTCAAACTATTGATCTATACTACTGCCATAGAGTGGACAGAAAGACCCCCATCGAAAAAACAGTAGAGGCCATGGCTGAATTGAAGAGGTAAGCCACACCCACCAGCATACGCTGTTGAATCCGTGCTAATGATCATGTAAATAGAGAGGGAAAGATCAGGTACCTAGGGCTCTCTGAAGTCAGTCCAAAGACCATTCGCCGTGCAGAGAAAGTACACCATATCGATGCTGTGCAAGTTGAATATTCTCCATTTTCTTTGGATATTGAACAGAACGAAGTCTTGAAGACTTGTCGCCAGCTTGGCATTGCCATCGTTGCCTATTCACCTCTTGGCCGGTATGACCTCAAGCAGTCCCCATAGTTACATATACCATGCTAACCTATCTCTAGTGGTTTTCTCACAGGCCAAATCAAATCTAGAGCTGATTTTGAGCCTAACGATTTCCGTCTCAGCGCCCCTCGTTTCTCCCAAGAGAATTTCCCAAAGAACCTCGTGCTGGTAAAGGAGCTGGCAAAGATCGCATCTGAGAAAGGTGTTACACCAGGACAACTCTCGTTAGCATGGTTAGCTGCCCAAGGCGATGACATTATCTCGATTCCGGGAACAAAGAAAATCAAGTATTTGGAAGAAAATATGGAGGCCTTGCATGTGCAACTTAGCAGACAAGAGGAGAGAGAGATTAGGACAGCCATCGAGAAGGTCCAGATTGGCGGTGCGAGATATCCAGAAGCCATGAATAGCTTCTCGTTCGGTGATACCCCTGAATTGCGATAGTCTGAAAATTTTCACCAGCAGTCGTCTTTCAGTTACTTTAGGTTGAAATTACCAGATTTTCCCAATCCGTTAGTATCAGACTTCTACGTGACCCCTGGGTTCAATAGAATAGTGATGTTCAAGTAGACTGCATATCAGATATCATTCTATAGTAAGTATCAAGACTCTTTTCCCAATGATAGGGGCTATGACATCCATAATCAAATAAGTCAGACCTTTTTTTACCATGACTGCTGGCTACATGATTCGAATAGCGTTTTAAGATGACGCACATTGTATCAAATATTTTCTCCAAATGCACAATCCATGCTAGTATGTTGAGGATTATATACATCCTTTTCTTGATCATAAATGCTGGAAAGACGTGGCTCTCAACGCGTTCGTGTTCATAACGGGAGAGCCCTGATGAATTGTCGTCTGGTGCGTGGCACCATCTGTGTGGAGGTATTTGTGGGGAATCTCGAGCTCTTGCATTAGTCGCACGTCTGGAACCCTTAGCATGCTCGAGGCAGGAAGCGGCACGACCAGACCAATCTAAAAGTCTGGGAAACGGTTCCAGCCTCATCTTACACTTTATTAGGTGAGTCATGTCGTTCGTATGTTGGGAGTTGCAGTAGCTTGCTTGGTGGTGTTTTGCTTTGGTTTTGTGGGGCGAGAGGGTTGAGAGGGGGAGGTGGAGTTCATCTGTTCTATGAGATTTTCAAAACGGGGTGGGAATAGTGATTGAGAGGTGAGGCTTACTGTCGAACAGAAAATCGAATGAAACTGGAGGGGAAAAATGGGGAAAGGCTGGAAGGGTCAACTATGAAAACTGATGATGTTCATAGGTTAATATCACGTGTGTACTTCATGTGCGTCTAATCATGTGGTTTTGAAAATTCACAATCGTTCTGAATGTTAATTAGCATGGACATATACAAAACTTCAATCATGATTCACGAGATTCTCAGAAGGATGAAATCCAAATATCCATATTCTATGCATTGAATTATGGCATCTATGCTATGGATCGCTCAGCTCTTCCCGTAGTCTTTCGCCTCTAAGAACCTGCTCAGAAGCTGACTATAACATATTCCTCACGTCCCTAGTCCAGAAAATCAAACTTCATTGTATCTGCGGCTCGTTCTTCTATCATAATCCACGATTCCGCTAGTTCAAACTCCAAGGGGTAAACTGAACATTGCTATTCCACCACCAGTCTACCCGTTACTTTCGATAAATCCACAATTTCTCCCCGCTAATCTGACTTGCATCAAGACGGTTGAATTTCTTCCCTCAACACCATGTGTGTGCGTATAAGTATCGTATGTGTGCAAAAGTTGTTCTCCGCGTTCCACAAGTGTGACCAAGTAAAACGTAAAAGAACTTCATATATCCAAGTTTTAAAGTCACGAGTACCTCAACAGGACTCGCGACCCTCGGCCTCAACGTCAGAGGCATTACCCAATGGGCTTTGCTGTACGACGTTGTAGCCTTGCTGCATTACAGCTTCATCTCGACGAGGTTGGCTTTCAGCCAATTGAATGGCATTGAATTGCACCATTTCCTCGTCTCGAAGGCTTGTAAGGCGTTGCGGAGCTGCCGCAACGCTTCTCTCGATGCTGGATTCCCAAGGTTCGGGTACCAGGCTCAAGACCTCCATCACTCTCCGGTATCCATATTCGTCCAGGCGGACCATGTGGGCAAGCTTTGCGTACCGGCTGCAAGCTTGCAGTTGCTTGATTGGAACAGCGTAGATGTGATGCACACGAACGTACGATCGTCTCTGCATGCTCCCTCGTGACAGAAACAACAAGGTGTTGCCTCGTTGATTGAGTTCAGCATGGTGCTGCGACTCTCGATTCTGCTCGTGCTTCCGCATAGCGTCAAGTTTGTTACCCTTCAGCTGAGGTGTTTGCTGCGGTACCCACGACAATGGCATAGTTTCCTTGAGATACCATTGCGTTGAAGGATCTGGTCCAAGTGTGCGCAGTTTGTTGACATACTTGTCCAGAGGCATACCACTGAGGGTTGTCATCTAATTTGATTAATTGTTAGTAAATTTCTTGAAAACCATTTGGGCATGGTGTTACAGAGCTTCTGTAAATGCAAATAGGAAAATAGGATGGCAAGTGTATAGGTCAAGTTTGCTTAGTTTTCACAGAAAAATTCTTGAAGTGGGGAGTCAAGACGAGAAATCAAGATAGTGAAGACTTACCAGTGCAACGTCCAGCATAACATTACCGACGATGTTCGACCCACGACGTTGATTGATCCTTAAGATCATTACCGGATGATTACGGCCATCTTTATCTTTGACCTTATCATTGCATTCGTGGTTCTGGACACAGAGAATTGGTTCATGTCCTTCTTCGTAGTTCGAGAGCCATACAATGCATCCCGGCATTAGATGCTCGGCACGCAAGTGGTACTTCTTGGGTGACATAGCTGGCTTTCGTTGGATGGCAATATCATCGGCTTCAGGAGTGGCACTGCCACTGCTACTACCGCTAGACTTGCTTGCTGGTGTTGATCGTGGTAATGAATAACCTTTGGCTCTCCATTGTGGCTTCTCTGGAACTTGAGAAAGTGTCAAGTTCTGATTTGACCTATTGCCGATTGGAGGAGTCGTCGGATACTGGCTAGAAGTTGGCATATAATTACCTCCAGTGGAATTTGATGTGACTGGTGTGGTCGCATGCGAAGGACTGTTGTATTGGGGTACTACTTGTTGTCTAGCAGTACCTGCTACAGGCGATCGGAAGCCATTGTCAAACGGCGGATACCTTTGTGGCGCGTTATTGACCTGCGGTACGGGGTTGCTGCAATTTATATACCCTTGCGCAGCTGGATTAAGTACACGGCCTGGATTGTTGCTGCTCATTTGTGGTATAGGAGCAAACGGATTTAGAGGGCTGCTTACTCCAACGAATGGGTTGCGTCGAGGAGTATTTGTGCATTGATAGTGTTGCAAAGGATTCGCAAAACTGCCATTGTATTGTTGAATGCGCGGAGGAATAGACGGCTGATCGTATTCGTGGTGTGGACGATTTGAAACGTCTTGATTATATAAATTATTACCGAAATGATGCCCATTTCGATACTGAGGGCGGATGGGGTTGAACATTTGACCAAGTCCAGGAGAAGGAGGAACAGCCATGCCCTGAGCATATTGCGTATTGTAGCCAGGAAAACGATTCTGAGGCTGATAGCTCGGAGAGTAGGGAATCATGGGTGACGAGCTTTCTCCTCCATTACCCTCAATTCGAGTGTCGGAAGGATTGTTCTCTTGACTAGCCATCTTGATATATTGGAGAAATCAAAGTGGCTGGCAAGAGATCAAGATTTGATTTGATCAAGAAGAAGGATGTTCAATGATGGTTGGAAGTAGCAAAAGAGCCTCAAGATTTTTATTGTTCTTACATTAATGGAAAGTGTCAAGATATGATTTACAAATGGTTGTTGTAAAGTCGGAGAAGTCAATGACTTAAAAGATGAAAGACTATTCGGTTTTGCCGAAAAGACTTTGCTGTATTGAATACACATCCTCAACTCGCTATGGTGGCTGGCTGCTGTACAAACGAAATTGAGTGAATGTCGACTATTGTTGTTATTGTGGTGACTTAGCGAAACGTTCACTTTAAACATATGTCTATGTTTTGGTTTTCAAAACGACAAAACAAGTTTGGCTATTAGACAAGGAGTCTGTATTATTGGTTAAAGAGATTGTTGTTTGCTCTATATAAGGTCCTGCTGCTTCTTTGTCGGCAGGAAGGCTTGCTGGCTTGTTGACATCTTTCAACTGGTCTTTCAACAAATTCAAGGCATGTCCATTATTCCTAGGGATTTGTCTTTCAATAGAGACATTCACTCAATTTACTTTCCAATCTACAATTTCATTGCAGCTTACCAAGCTTCTGGTGCATCTTACGTTATCTTTTCGTCTAATATCCTACACTCATTAGGTACGTGGAGTTATCTCGGTAAATACCTCTAGTTTAACAGTGGCAAGGACATGCAATTTACTATCCATTATGGTGATTGGAGATTTTAGAATTTTAAATCTCAGCCGGTTAAGCGAGAGTTTCACCTGTGAAAGATTAATAATCGAGAATGATTGTTTCAATACACAAATTTTTACCCACTACAAATCGTCACTAGAGACTTTAGCGAACGGTCCGTAGTGAATTTCTCGCGAGAATGCTATACTTGCAATTAAGAGATTTGCAACGCTCTCCTTAGTGGAGCTAACGACTCAGCTCAATAATAATTTAGCGGTTAAACCGGAGTGGCAGAGCTATTGTATATTTTCCTGGCACTGATTGCCTCAAAGTCATCTGATAATTCAAGTAAAGCAGCTGGTTCAGCTAGCAGACCTTACAATTCATCCACACGATTGAGACTGCTGATCTGTCCACTTGAACTATTCGGCGTACACAATTCAGATCGGAAAAAATTAGTATTTCTGAACTTGACCACTTATGTTATAAGTTTTTGGTAGCACACCTTACCGAAATATCGAGAAGCTTGCATATTTCGATCTTTCTCCACGACAGTGTCAATGGTGTGGACTCATTTCAAACAGATAATTTGACTTTATACAAGCCACTAAGAGACTAGAGCTATACGGGCTAGATCCAGGCGTTTAAGTATTGTTTTCAGTATTTTTTTTGAAGGTAGAAGGCTCAGCCTAGAATTTGAAGGAATAGGATCGGCCACTTTCTGAAAATGGCAGCGACAGAAAGAGGTCACTACTAGCGATATGGTGAGCTGCTTATTTCTTTTGACGTCGAATACCTGGTGATATACGTTTTCGCTCCATAGACTATGTAGCCCTTTTTTGGTCTGATTCTGGGCATTGAAAGTGAAAGAAGCCCTCGTTTTTAAGTTTAAGTCTATCTCAGCTTGATCATCTACTAACTAATTGATCATTGAGAAGCTTCAAATGTTCTTATCTTCAAGCCTTGGTAAGAGGATACGAATATTTTCATATGAGAATACCACGATCCTTATCGTCTGATAGCCAGGTAAAATTGAGATTAACGCTCGACTATCATATCATGCAGCAAGCCTTCAACTACAACTCAGCACAACCAAGTGTGCCTTAGCCAAATGAGCTCTTGTGTCACCTAAGATTGTTTAAATAATAGCATTTCAAAAAATACTGAATTAAGGCTCATTATATATCGAAGAAATGTTCCTCCCAAAATAAACACCCGTCGTTGACAACTGTTGATGCGCATCCACAAACACGCCCCCTCTCTAATTGCAAGGTTTCCTTCGGTATTATGCTCCTTTTTTGAGCAAGAATCACAGATACCGCTATGATTATGTTGATTCATATCTTGTTCGGTGAACTTAAGTTCACATCCAATCTTCAAGTCACGATTTGCTCCGAATACGTTCTCCGTGCCTGAGCAAAATGAATGGCAGAGGTGCAAACGATAAAGCAATTGAAGCCATAACAGAATTTTCCCAGCCTAAACCTAGAGATCGATATAGCGGTGACCCAGCCAGCGGTAAAATGGTGGACATAACATTGCGAGACATAGTCATTGCGGACATAGCAGAACCGCGAAAAATTCCTGATATGTCGACCAAATACACTGTAGTAGGGACTACTGTAGTAGAGGTCGCAGAACCACATAGCGCAGTTCCAAGAATGGGGACTATGTAGTGTATGTGGAAATAAGCTGTCAATCCGTACGTGATTAGACCTATTGGGGCAATGACAAATTCCAGGGTCATAGGAGGAAGCCGCCATTCTGGTTTGATCTCGCCGCCATGGAGGACTTATATCTTCTTTGTATACCAATCTAGCACCGCACAACAAAGAATTGCGCCTAGTGCCATGCCAATGGCCAGCCCAAGAAATGTGAGTCCCACTTCACCCTCTGAGAGCCCATAATTTTCTGAAAGACTTCCGTGATTGTCGATGCTAACAGATACACGTACGAAGAGAGCAAACACATGGAGAAAATCAACAATGCAAAGATAGGAGCGACCAATATCTTGATTGGTCTCACGAGTGCGTTCACGATTGAACTTATTTTCGATCCCTGCTGATCGTATTGAGAATGAATTGATGGGTCATTGAACTCCTTGCGTATCTTTGCTGCTTTGCGCCTAAGACTCGTTACATCGTAGGTCTCACGGTATATCAGAAAGAACAAAACGATTGATGTTACAGAAGTGATACCAGCTAGATCAAAGATCCATCTTCAACCCCCTGTCTGAGCTATATACCTCCTGAATATAGGTCCAATCGCAGGACTGATCAGGGGCATCAGGGAAAGTAAAGACTGAGCAGCTCCCCTCTCTTCAACACTAAACATATCTCCCACAATAGTTGGGTTGAGAGCCGTCGTGGCCGTACTGACTCCACCGAGACATTGAAGAACAATAACCATGACAACATTAGTCTGCGCAACGGGTACCCGCGGGGCGGATAATGGCCTTGACAGATAATCCGCGGATAATTCGTTTGTGGAATAGATAATTCAGAATCTGAATAGGTAATCTATAAGATGGATACAAATTATCCACAAATATTCATTTACCTATATATTATATAACTATTTATAATTTTTTATAATATTAATATAATTTTATAATTAATATAAAAATTAGTATAAATTTAAGCTTGAATTACTTTTGAACTGGAAAATAATTTAAAAATAACTTTATATTTTAAACGAAAAGAATAAAGATTTTCCACTTTTTTTAAAGAATTTATATATCTACAAATTATTTATAAATAATTCACAAATTATTCATAAATAATTCACAAATTATTCATAAATAATCTATATTTTTGCAACTAATCCATTTATTTATAAATAAATGGATTATTTGTATAAAACAGATAATTTTAAAGCCTCAATAGATAATCCATAGAGCGGATTATCTGCAGATAATCCACGGGTACAGATAATTTGTGCGCAGCCTAGGCAACATTCTTGCTTTGCGTTTCTGCTATTATGTAGAGAAGAAACAATGGATTTGCCAAGTCATATACTGGTCTACGTCCGTACCTCTCACTCCGAGGGCCCATAAATAGACAGCCAACAGCAGCTTCTAGGTTCCAAATTGTTAGGATGAGGGTAGAGTTGAGTACACTGACAGAACGAAACTCTTCCAGGATCTGTGGTATAGCGGGAGCGCAAATAAGCACAGTGAGATTTCTAGGTTGATATGTTAGTAAAAGTAACGGTAGAATCATGTTTCATGTGGATAAGTTTACGTTGTCATAGATAGTGCACTTATTATAAGCAATAGACTCCATTTATAAGCTTTCGACCAATTTCTTGGGTTGCAAGCATCGTGGGGTCCATCATAGTCGAAACTAGCTTCGAAAATGCTAGAAAGTAATGCGGTTTCAAGGGCACACACTTCTGGTACGATTACAGCGGTAGTCTCAACCCTTAGTAAGTTAAATAATCAGCCTTCCCTTGTTCTTCATGATGCAGAACTGAGTCAAAAGAAATTGGTCTTTCAAATTGTTAGAGAGGAGAAAATGCAATCTTATCTACAACAATGTATTAGTGACAAGACTCAAGTACCGGCTACCACCCTGCAGCCTGTCCCACATCGTTCTGCAGGTATGTGGCGCAAAGAAGAGTGAATAAGGGGGTAAGCACCAATTATAAAGTGAGTTTTCATCAGGTAGAACACGAATTGTTGTATTCAGAGCCTTACACATAATGTCCTTATCCTTGGGGGCATTTAAGATTGCCGAATTCTTTCAGTTTATTTTCTCTACCAAGAATTTACCGAGTAAGAGGAAGACTCTATCTTCTCAATATCAAACAAATCTCTTCTTGAAGGTTAGCTCTAGAACATTAATAATAATAATAGTATTCTAGTATTAGTGGAAGACTTAGTCTCTTTAGCTTTAGGAATAAATCGAGTATATAGTATGAGAATTGAATCGAAGTTAAATTATAAGAAAGAGTTTGATTGACTTAAATTTGCTTACTTTTTCTAGATTTTCTTTAAAGAATATCCTAGGTTCATATAATTTATAATAAAATTCTAATAGTTTCTTATTGGTATCACCATGGGGATGGTGAAGTCAATATAGTACTATGGTTCACACTGTTATTATATTGCTTGAGGTTCTAAAAGCTAGGGCTATGTTACGGGAGCTGCCTCTAGGGTCACGTGGAAGTGGCTAGAGATCTCTCGAGGTGGTTTAGACTAGACTTCAAGTAGGAATTCAATAAGGTTGTAACTGGTTGCAATTCTCGTAACTATAGTATGAAACTAATGATTGATCTTGAGCACGAAGCTCTACATTATAATGAAACTCATTCCTTTATATAGACCTTCCTGCTCTACGAAACCCATGGTTCTGTTCTACTTGGATCCCTTGGATCCTAAGCTCCAAAGGCTCCAACGTCCTGTCACATGACACTCGTCACGTGATCCAATGTTACCCGTCGTAACAGGCTACGAAACGTATTACTGTAGTGTCGGAAGACACTAGCGTCAACGCTAGCGTAGTCACATGATCACTGTCCCAACATTTTTATATTTATAAATAAAATTAATGTAAATCGAATCTTATAGAATTACTTATATTATACAAAGAAAAAATATTATATTAGAAAAATACATTTAATTAACTTAGTCTGTTTTTATTAATTATCTTCTATATGATTTCATTTCATTCTATTTTATTATAAATTAGTTTAATAAGAGATATAATAATACAATAATATAATGATATAATTTTATAATATAAAATCATATTATGAATATAAATATATCTCTTGATTAGTAAGATATTAGTAAGTGATTTAGTATACTTATTATAGAATCTTACAATGATAGACGTTGACATCATTACAGATGAAATGCTTGGAGATATTGGATGAGGAACGCTCTTGATGGTTCTTCTCGAGAAAGGTAAAGAATTTTCATGAGGAACATACGTCAAATTTCTTTCCACAGCTAATGAATCTGAAGTGTTTTCTCGAGTAGATATATGAATACTGACGGTGGATTTTGTGGTCTCGCTGATGAGGGATCGGGTATTTGGTTATTAAGAGTTGTATGGAGTTGATCTTTTGAGATTCACACAGTCTATGCAAAGTGAACAGTATCGCCAATATCAAATACCTTAGCAATAATATCCTGTATCGTTCGGTATCGTGAGATTCTGGGGTCATGGGAATGATGTCCCAAACAATCATTATTCCATAACTATGTATTTGTTACGGAGGTACCCGCACCGCAACATGGATTATAAGATAAACCTAAGGCCTTGGTGTTGGGACCTACGAAAACAGCACTGTAGGGACAGTTGAATTAAAGGGTAACTAAAGATAGCGGTAACCGAATAAATAAGCAGTGATTAAAAGATAGGTACCTATCTTTTATTGGCACCTACCCCACAGTAGGCACAGGTTGCACAACGGTTACAGATTAGCTAGTAAGCACAGGTTAAATAAGCGGTAGCCTTACCAGGTCACGAGGACAAGTGTCACGTGAAGGAAAGTCGATTCGACTTGTCGACTCGAGTAGTCGAGTAGACTTGACGATTCGATCAAAGTACGAAGGTCTATATAAGGGAATGGGTTTCATTACAATGTAGAGCTTCGTGCTCAAGAACAATCATTAGTTTCATTACTATAGTTACGAGAATTGCAACCAGTTACCAACCTTATTGAATTCCTACTTGAAGTTTAGTCTAAACCACCTCGAGAGAACTCTAGACACTTCCACGTGACCCTAGAGGCAGCTCCCGTAACAGTATTTCCCATAATCAATATAAGGCAGGAGATTATCTGCAGTATTTTCAAGGGAAATGTCGTAAGACAAGCTATAAAATGAGTGGATATGAAAGTCTATTCAGGTACCTTTAGCATTGATTAGATATATAATATAGTCGGTTTACATAATCAATTGGCTCGAAAACGGCCGCAAAGCTGATCATTTTTCCCAAGCATTAAAGATGAAAACCTCTACGAACATTTCACAATTGAAATATAAATTCTAATATCAAACAATCAAAAAATGGATTTATTATAATTTTTGAAAATTGAGAAGTATCCTATTAATCTATGTACTCATTAATGATCTAGAGATTTAAGATTTTTTAATAAGTATACTAAATTACTTTTTAAAATCTTACTAATTAAGAGATATATTGCTGACTAATACATATATAATATGATTTTATATTATAAAATTATATTATTATATCTCTCATCACTTTGATTTATAATGAAATAGAATATAGCAGAATCATATGAAAGATTGTTGATAAAGTAGACTAAATTGATTGATTATACTTTCTTTTTATAATATAAATAATTTTACAAGATTCGATTCAAATCGACCTTATTTATAAGTATAAAAACTACTAGAATTTCATTATAAACTATATAAATCTAGGATATTCTTTAAAAAAAAACCTAAAAAAAAGCAAGCAAATTCAGCTCAATCAAGCTCTTTCTTATAATTTAACTTCAATTCAAGTCTCATATTATGTATTCGATTTATCCCTTAAGCTAAAGAGACTAAATCTTCCACTAATACTAGAATACTAATATTATTAATATTCTAGAAGCTAACCTCCAAGAAATATATTTTCTATTATCATATCTTTGGTTTTGATTACCAAACAGAACGTGCCGATGATAAACATAGCAGCAACGAACTGAAAAGTTTGTAAAAGGCGCATGATGTAGTATTGGAGTTCCTAAATCTTGGCAGTTGTCAGAACAAAAGACTTTTTAACTGAGAGGTTCATGAACAAAAAACGAAACTTACTTTGTTTTGATGAGTGTTCTATTCAAATAATGCCCTTTCTTGATACCAGCGGCTCTGGAATTTGCGTTGTAAAGATCTCACTTCAAGTTGGTTATAGGATATCTCGATGAACCTTACTGCGATAGCTGTCTCTAGAAACGGTACGTTCTTGTTGTATAGTGCAACTAGCTGAACTCTATCACACGAAAAGCACCCATTACAAAATTTCTTATTGTGTTCATACTGATCAGAAGAAAGTACATCTTAAATACGACACTCCTCTCATATACTATAACCACACAAACTATATGAGCAACAATGACACCCTCCAACATGAGATGGGCCCACATGTCGTGGCGCTTGACGATGAATGGGCAATTGAGCACTAGCTAGTATTTCGGTTTCCATGGGATCCTGAAGCAAGAGGAATCTACTTTTTGAAAGCTCTCCATGGGTTACATTGTCTGGTAAGAAACTTTCGATGGAGTCCAGAGGATTGGAAAAACTGCTCGTCATAGTGCTCTACTTATTTAATATTCTTCTAGAAAGTACTACGCAGAGCTTTCAACGATTATGAGCGAGGTGATGAGATTGGAAGTTCTGCCGGTCATGTCCACCACTGCCTGGACGCACTCCGTCAAGATATGATGTGCAATGCCGACGATAGCCCAATGCCTAGTAAGTGATGTAAAGTTTCTATCTACCGGCTTTGATGTTATTGCAGGGGTTCGCTATACAAATGCTATCGGAAAATCTCTACTAATAAATCATCCTCAGTGAACGATTTCCCGAACAACATTGGGCACTAACAAGTTCGTATGTGTAGAAACTTTAATCAACTGATACAATGGACAGAGGAACCAGAGAGACACGCCTTTTACCATCGATGGAGTGACTATGAAGGGAGAGTGAAAAATAGAATGGAGATGTTTGCGTTTTGAGAAGAAGAATCGCAGTACTAGGAAAAGATGCAACAGTACTTTGACAAGTTTGGCCATAAACCCCCCTTTGGGGGTGACGACAAGGATTTTCCTACTTGAGACTCGCGTTGAGTCAAGACTGTCATGAACCTTTTGAGCGAGAAATATCGCTGTCAAATGCATCAAAAAGCTTCCCATTCCATTATTTGTTCTGTTAATGGCAAATCCAAAATTATCTTGCATAATCTCAAGAATATCTTAGCCCCTATCTCAAAATTGCAGAAAATAGGTATGCATACATAAACTTTTGACATGAGAATAGACCACTCAACATGCCCGTGCATATCACTTGATGAAACTGGAGTAATGGGCCTTTCGCAATTATTTCTATGTCATGCCACTGATGCGATCAGAAGGGGTGCTGTAGGTTGATCAAAATGGTACCAAGGTCATATTCAGATGCACACGCTGCAATATTTTGAGGTCACTTCCTCTTGATAAATAGATACTTTTGGCCATGAGTGGAGTAGTCACATAATAAATCACCTCATTTTCTATCCTATATCACAAGTGGGTGCTCGAGGGGTCCTTCTAATATATCGTACATCTAAAGCCACAGGCGGAAACCCATGTACTCCTTTCAATGCTTATCCAACACCACCTTTAAACCCACTAAAAATATGCGCCATCCATAAAACCAGTAAATTCCATGCAGAAACCCATCAAAAAGTGCCATTTGCCGACCACAACATCTTGAAAGCTCCAAACACTGTTCCGAGACTCAAACACCCTGCGAAGAATCTCAAAGCAACATGTCTCCACCCATGATCAACAAAAGGTCTGAAAGAATGATAGCGCGCCGTCAATGGAGTAGGTGGCTGAATCGGATATGGAGTAAGAAGTTGCTGGTTATTAACAGTCCCATACCCGGCTACTCGTGGAACGTTGAGGAGACTCTTCGATTTAGGTATTTCGTTCAAGGTAAATCTGACATTTCTTCGTTGTCCTAACGGGAGAAGAGGGGATGTCGGAGCAGTGTTAGCATGAGGACAATCGGGTGCGGCAACTGGGAAGGGAGTAGTGGGGTATTTTTTCTTCTCCAAATCCATCTCATTTTGAAGGGTAAATGATACCTGTGCTGTTTTTGATATTAGGGATGGAATTTGCCTATTTTGGGAAGCCAGTGCTTCAAGACGTGCTCGCGCAGTCTTGTAAAGCGAAGCAGTTTCTTCGTAGGGCTCGTTTCGAAGACCCATTTCCGCCATCAGGCTGTTATAACTTGTGGCTGAGAGTCGAAGTTTATAAGCTCGATGATTTCGGAAGCCAAACGTGGAGAGGCTGCTGGAAGGCACCTTGAAAATGTGAGCAAGATCAATGTAGGACTGTTTCTTGAGAGCTCCCTTTTGCAGACGAAGAAGCCATGATGGTGTACTTTCGACGCAGCTGTCTTGATCTATAGGACTAATGGGTAGTGATTGCTGAAATTCAGAATTGTGTGGACATTTCGATAGATAGTTTTCCAAATTCATATCACTGAAAGTGGTAATCTGCGGCCGGTTAATACATATCTGATCGGGGGATTAATTGCAACGTACTGTAGCAACGTAGCAAATCAAATCGCCGCGTATACTTGATCCTTTTCTCTGTCTAATTTTGAGAACGACAACCGGATTATTGTATCCGTTTTCTCCAAGCCCCTTTCCACAACAATTTCTTTTGCAGCATTTGATGCTCTTATCAAAACTCTCTGAAGGTAACCAAACGATGCACCCAACACATAGATCACCCGATCTTACTTTTGGTCGAGGAAAATTCTCGTCACTTGGTGGAGGAGTAAGGGATTTGGTAGACTTGAACTCGCGCGGATTCGCGATGGCCATTGCAGATTGTAAGAAAATAATGACGAACGAGGAAATGCTGCGACTCACTGGTGTCCAGTTACCTTTTGGAGTGTTGGGTGGGATGGTAAAGAATGATATAGTTGGATGATTTGATGACAACCTGTGATTAGTAGGTGCACATTAAATCAAACAGTTTGTAAGAGTATAAGCACTCTTTATTTATTCAATGCCTGTTAATCGTTAGCAAACCCAACCAAGAAAAAGCGAATCCTCCCCCTCAGCCCTGCGTTTGCAGGAGCGACGGAATGTTTTACCCCGAGATCTCATGGACAGACCGAACCAACACATCGTTTTTTGATCACGCGTACAAAATAATTTCGCGGAAGTAGATCGATTGGTTGGATGCCGCTTGCTCGGTTGGAGGAAGTCGGCGCTTAAGGTCATCTCAGGTCATAGCAACGGCGAGGCTGAGATGTGGCCATAAACCTCTAACTGTAGAAATAAGGCTAGGCGCAAGGCCAGTAGACCTGAATGGCCAGAACATGACGAGAGGCAAATTGTTTTGATCAATTACGAGATATCATTTTCAACCCGAAACATCCTCGGAAGAAACTTCCTAGCTCTCTCAAGTGGTGCCTGTCAATTTTGCTATTTTGGGAGACAAATTTTCTCCATAGCCCGGCCTTGAGGCTATCAAAAAAGACATGAAACATCAGTATTGCGGACGAAAGAAAAAATTGGTAGTATGTTTGGTCAGTACAATAAAAACCAAGTAAGCTCGATTTCCAATTTCGAAGTCAAAAGTAATGGAGTTCCATTGCCGATCAGGAGTATCAAAAAAATCGATTATTTAGTTCTAACCTGTACAATTCGTACAATTCATATCAATACATTCGAGCAAAAGCTACTCGCTAGAATTTTTCAATCGTGTATTAACAATTAGTTACAATGATATTTCAATTGATAATAAAATGGGAGCCGCGACAAGTAAATCGCAAGTACCAAGCCAGCATCTTTTTTTGAAATAGATCTACTCCAATTTCTTCCCTGATAGAACCAATTGACTGACAGGTTTCAGTGTTGGATCGAACCCAGAATTCCGGTGAGGAATTCCCCGTGATATTCTTCACCCACGATTGATCTGCTATGATTACCACGTAGACTGTCAAAACTTTGACTTTTGTCGGCTTTCCGTAAAGCAAGATAGATGTAACGGGGACATGAAAGGAAGATAAACAAATGATAGGTGAGAAAGGCAGTTGAAGGTACAATCTGGTGGAGATATCCGGATTGATTGCCATCATATCGTCGTGGAGAATTAGATTATCCATAACCGATTTTATCATGGCTGCATCTTAATCACTAAACATTTGAAATACAAAAAAATCACCGAGAATCTTCACCATACCTAATCGCGAATATCCATCACTAGATGGGACAGACCGTTCCGATTGTTTCCTGTAGTTCGAATCATCCATTTCCTGTAGCTGTGGCTTTCATGAAACCAGAGGACATTGTCTTAACAACCGTTTCAATACGTCGAAGATAATCTTTCTATACAATGTATTATATTGATCATATTAGTTATTGCGCTCATCGCCCGTCGATATTGTGCACCTTCTCGAACGTCCTAATAATATTTGAAACACTTTTCAAAGATCTACCACAAAATCTCTTGGCAAAACATTACACTTAGCCCAGACTGTGGCTAGAAACCGAAGTCACTAGACTTCGATGCATCAACTTTCGTCGGTTGGGTACCGGAAACCTCCATTCGTTTCTTCTTTCTTGCGTATCCTCTTTGTCAATCTATCCTCGCCCCAAATCAAGAATTAGCCCTAAAATCTTAGAACTCAAACTTTGTAATTTCTATTGAAATTGTATACGCGTCCCACACTAAGGAATGTTGATATGACACGCAGCATTCCGGGCTCACAATCTGAACATTCGCATGAAATCTATCAGGAACACGATAAGTTATACTTTCGCAATGTAGTAACCGTAATTTGTGCATAAAGTAGTATTCACTGCCCGCAGCAAATACCCATGATGATTCTCAAATTTAAGACGCAATATTCCACAATATGGTCCTGGACCGTGATCTTTCCGACTCATTCCTCTGTCGAATCATGGACAACATTCTTCTGACTCTAGGTAATCATAGGGACTATCTGGAATTCATTAGTACATCTAATTCAAAGAAATGGATTATGCAGCTTACTCCCACGATGTTGATTCACGGTTTGTAGTTGTCGAGTGGGTGGCGGTAGAGCTAGTGATGGTGCTTGCAGCAATCCATTTTTGACTCTCAAGAGAGTATTTTGCTCCGAACTGAGTAGGGCTTCCATATCTAAGCGGGGCAGAGTATCTGTAATTCGATGAGTCCTGTGAACTCAACTAAAAGACCTGTCAACGATCTGCAAGATTATTTTGATTAGAGAACTTACTATAAGGAATTGAATAGAAGAATTCGAATCACCTGGGTTGTAAATGTCGAGAACAACCACTGGATGGTCAAATCCGTTAATGCTCAGCAAATGTTTTTCTATCCCAGTATGGCGTTGACAAAGGGGTAGTAAATCTCCATTAGAGTCATTGAAAGGTGGGAGCCACAAAATACATCCCACGCCAATTTCTTGTATCTGCAGGGCAGGTCCATTTCTGATGCCCATCTTGAATAGATCTATATAATATTCTTGTGATATTAGAAAGTCAAAAGAGTGTAGGATAAGAAATAAAATGTTAATCTGCTAGAGATATCGAGTGGAATTGTTTGTACTGGTGAGGAATAACTAATCGATTATATACAACCGTCCTACTTCATTCAACTCTCTACGCCATCGCGAAAGTATCAAGAAATATCAAAGTAATGTCAGAGACAGCGACGACTTATGATTCCGAGGCGCACCAAAACCGAAGAGCAATTCTTTTCTCATTGTCTACATGATGAAGTCCCAATGGCTTTCTTTCAGATGTTTCCAAAGAAGACTCCATTCATTCAGATCATGGACCCTATAGGTACTACACTTTAGAAACATTTCAACATCATCAAAGAAATCATCGCACGGGTAACTCTCCCGGCGCACAGTCCATCGATATCAAGATCTCAAAATACATCCTCATTGACTCACTTGAATCAAGCTTGGAACTCGGTGTCTCCGGTGATCTCTCAATTCGTGCCTAACTTCACATTCCGCGATCCAGGCCCGTCTCAGCTCCAACGACCACGGCCAATCAACCAACCGCGACCGCGACCCTAGAATCTTCCAACTTTGGAATGTCGTAGCCTTGCATCGATACCTTTGTGCGCTCTGTAGAATCACAAAGAATTATTGACTCAAACACTAATCATTAGATGACACTCAAGACATTACAATTGTTGTAAATGTTTAAGGATGAAGTCGAAATGTTGGTGTTGGAAATTAGTTCACGTGTAAAGTCTCAGCCACCAACCAACTGTGGCACAGTAACCTGATCGGAGCTAGGCGAGAATGAAGGGACGACAGCAATGTTAAATTCTAAACTTTGATACTAATATTTGTATGGTACATAATGGCAAGTATATTTGAATTAGAAAATCATGAATATCGCAAAGAAACCTCGAGAGAATATAAAAACATGGCCTAGAATCCCTACATAACGTTTGGGCGAATCTTCTCCGATTTGCTGGACAACTGAGTCCACAATTTGTCGCAAGCTGCAGCACCATCTTTACTTGTTACATAAGACGATTCCCTGTACAATTTTGTAAAGAGGCTATTTTATACATGTCATTTTTGGGAGGGGTGAAGAAGCTCACGATAAATGTCCCCCGTTTCCAACATATTTTCCGTGGGATTCTTTGCCAAATGTAGTGGCAAGTACCAAACTTTTCGCACCTTCTTCAGTTATCCTTCCCATACAATTTCCCAGCTTCTTGAGGAAAGGAGTGACGATTTCGTCTGAAAGATTCGATTGACTCCAACCTGGATGCAGGGTGTTGAAGACAACGGGGTAGTCTGCGCCGTATAGAGATACGAAATGACAGACGATCAGGATCTCCATGAGCTTCGACACGTTGTATCTGTGTTATGTTAACCCAAGCGACATTCATGAATGAGACTATGTTTGTACCTATCATCCATATGAGCTGTTTTCTTACCATTCAAAGTTGTAAATATGTCATCAATTTGCCATTCCGAAAAGTCACTAAGAAAGTGCAGATCAGAGGATACAATCGTCATATGTGGCGTTGTATTGAAGTACTTTGCAGTTTTTTTCAATTTCGGCATCAATACGACAATTAAGAAGGTGGAAATAACACTGACCGTGATAGTCGACTCATTGTCCTCGGCTACGCGATATTCTTTTGTCAAAATTCCTGCGTTTAGGAGCATGACATCCAAACATGGCAGAGTTTTTGCCTTTTCATAAAACTAAATGACAGATGCATAGGAAGATAAATCGACCTGCCATATTTCTACGACATTTCCATAAATAGCGAAAGTCTGTTCCAACTCGACCTTGACTTTATCTGCTTTCTCGAGAGAGCGACAAGCAAGAATAACTCTGGATGCTTTGAGCTTGAGGTGGTACTTTGCTGCTTCAAACTCTAGACCTGTATTTCCACCGGTAATTATGATAATTTACCTTCAAAAGAAGTGATTGGTTTAGGCACCCTGACGATAAGCTGGGAGTATAGTAGTAGTAGTAGTGCAAACACCATTTTGAAGAAGATGAGAAACTCGTGGTTAACTTTAGACTTTAAAGCGGGGGAAGGGGGAGGGGGGGGGTAAGTTGTTGATTTGAATCTCAAAAGAATTAAGAACTTAAAGCGTTCTACATACCATCTCATATTTCAAGCAAAAAAGAGGAGACCTTAATAAATTTTGTAACATCTCGGAATTCGACTTGATTTTCATGAACCCGTTTGGCGCAGCATTGGCATGGCCCAGAGTTAAGATTGGTACTCAAAAGTGGAGATAATTGAACTTATCAACTCGTGGCATCTATTCTCAGCTGCACAAGATCGTAATACCTAAATCAAGCTCGTCAGACATTCTATCAATTATGTCCCCAGCAAAGGAGATTAACTAAACATCAGATTTGGAGATCAAAATTGAACTTACATCCGACGCGGTCTAACGGCCGCACACGGACGCAGTAACAGCATGCTGTAAATCCGTCGGAAAGCTAACTCCGTCAGAAAACAAACTTCCGGCTTTTTTATCTGTTTACTACAAGTCTCTTTCGGACTTGCTGCTATTCAGTGGATACCAACATATGAGTTTCGGCCGAACTACAAGTCTCCTCATTTGGATGTTAGTAAGAATTTAGGCAGTGATATCGATGATGTCAATCAAATTCTGTGTATGGAGAAGTAACTACCCGTCGCCGATGACTCGGGGCCCAGACTATTATGGATTGGGAAGAACTGTGGTAGATTTCAAGAGCGATGATACTATGTATATAAAGACTGCATTTCTCGATCATCGGAAAATTTCTATTCATCAACAGCACAAAAAACATCAACACAATCAACCTACCAACACATCTTCCGGTAATTATCTTCTCAATTCAATACAAACAGCAGAATGGTCAGTCAAAAGCAATTCGGTCATGAGACAAATGGGGCTGAAGTCGTTGCCTCATTCCCAAAGTCTGTCGCTGACAAGACATGTAAGTTCATCTCATCATCACTTACACATGAACTTGCTCTGAACATTCTTAGTTGTTATTACCGGCCCAACACCAGGCGGGATGGGATCTTAGACAGCTTTGCTACTTGCTGCATCTAAACTAGCAACTATTCTCCTCAAACGTAACGAATCTAAAGCCGCACCAACTATAGAATCAGTGAAAGCGGTTTCTCCAAGCACAACCGTGAAATTTGTTCACTGTGATCTTGGAAAGTATTCATCCATTAGAACTGCAGCTGAATCTATTCTGGCTACCACTCCCAAGATCCACACTCTCATCAACAATGCGGGTGTCATGGCGCCAGCCAAATACAACACTACCGCCGAAGGTTTGGAGGTCCAATTTGGTGCAAACCATGTTGGGCATTTGCTTCTAACAAACATACTCATGCCAGCTATTGTTGCTGCTGCATGTGAAGGAGCACGAATTGTCAACCTATCCAGTATGGGATGGTCATTGGGCGAAGTTCGATTCGATGACTATAACTTCAATGGTGGGAAAGATTATGACAAATGGTCAGCATATGGCCAAAGTAAATCAGCAAATATTTTATTTACTGTTGAGTTGGCAAAGAGATTGAAAGGCAAGGGAGTACACGCATTTGCTGTTCACCCTGGCGTGATCGTCACGAATTTGATAAGAGAGGTGGATCCGAAGAAAGATTATGGCTCTGTGACCGAACGTTTCAACTCCAGAGGTAATTCAGACTTTGAATTCCATCATTCAAAATAGTCAAGTTTTACTGGCAAGATAATTAAGGAGACATAAAGATGGATGGCTCATTCCCTTGGAAGAGCTTAGAAGCAGGCACATCAACAACATTGGTTGCGGCTCTTGACCCAGCTTTGAAAGGTAAATACATCCCTACTTTCTCAATGCTAACACTTGAAAATTATAAAGTTCACTCAGGTGCCTACCTTACCGATTGTCAAATCGCTGAAACAGCAGATTACACCACCAATCCAGACTATGCAGAGCGATTGTGGGCGCTGAGTGAGAAGCTTGTAGGGCAAAAATTCGATTTGTAAGAAGATTGTTCTACTAGCACCAACATAAACATAGACTCGCCACTCATGGTGAATAGTGTACATTTTAGCAATTGATAGATTCTAAAGATATTTGCCGTCTTCAAGCAAAATATGATACATACTTCCCCCATAAATCGAACCCACATCCCCAATATATTTATTCCAGTCCTCGATAAACTTCTCATATCTTCCCAAGTCCCAGGGGCAATAAAACCCATCCCTTGCAAACCTCGCGAGTCGACGGATCCAAAACCCTCTTCCATATGTATCATCCATATACGTCGGATCCGCCTCCTGCATTACCCTATCAAAATACTCTTTCACAATCGTCACATCCTTATTGAGTGGTAAATCTAAAGGAGCATCATAATCGCCATTCCACGGAAACGTAAAGTTATTACAGTATTCGAAACGCTCCTCGTAGAACCAGAGCCAGGATCTGGGAGCTCGAGTCAAAACTAACGGCATGGACTTTACATCATCCCAATCGATGACTCCGCTGACTTCCCATTTTTCTGATTCGAACTTTTCGACGAAAATGTGTCGAGGCTCGAGATCCTAGTGCCATAATACGTTGATGGAGTCGGATGGTTTGAAAAAGCGTCTCGCCGCCATTTCCCCCAAAACTACTTGCAACATTTCCCACTGCGCATCATCTTGTGTTCTGATAGTCTGGTGGGCTTTAATCATGTTGGAGAGTAACGATGGCAGGTCTTGCTTCTCAAGAGGAGGTGCGCTCTCCATGAAGCTCGGAGAGAAGCCCGCGAATTCAATGCGTGGTGTGGAAGAAGCAATGGAAGTTGAAGTCCATAGTACAGCATGAGTGCCAACCAGTTTTCCCGGCTTATCCAGAGTGGTACTCTCTAATTTGACTATGAACTCTGCAATAGTCTTCACAACTTCAAGTCTCTTAGACATGGGAAGCTGTTGGGGAATCTCGAAGAACAATTCGTCTGGCGGTATTCCTTGAATCCTCTCCTGTAGAACATATGGTGACTTAAGAGGATTCGCAGTGGTAGTATCGATGGCTAAAACCTTAGGTACATGAAGGAATTCGAATCGCTGAAGCCACATGATTATTTCAGCCTGGTTCTGGATATCAGTTTGCTTCGACCATTTGGCATCCCATTCTCGCGGGATCCGTAGAATACGTTGTTGAATTCCAGATTCACTTCGAAATGACAAGCCAATCACCCGATTGTAACTTCCTCCATCCATACGCTCTATAGTTGATGGTTCGCCAAGGCCTATATCAATACACAACTGATTGACTTTACAGCGGTAAGTATCAAAAGGTTCTTGTTCGTACATGTAGGTAGACGATTGGGTTAAGAATCGGTTATTTATAGAAGAATTGTTGGAAATGATATCCTCATGAATAAAGTCATCATCTGGGGGATCAAACTTCTCTGTACCAACATTTGGAACATGATTGGCATGGCTCTCATCTAGCTTGGAATGGTTGCCGTCTTTATAACATTCCACGAGTGCATCCAGACAGGAATCGCAAAAAGATTCACGAAGTGGGACACTATTGAATGTGATGCCCGAGATCAGGCTAGCAGGATCAGAATCCATAGGGAATGAGTATCAGAATGGAAAATCGAGGGTATCTCTGGATTGAAAACTTTCCACTTATATGTTGGATCCGACTTTGAGATTCATTAACTTGGATAGTTTCTTGGGAAGTGGGCAATGGGATCGCACATGTCGAGCGTCGTGATAGAATAGAATCTCTTAACAGAAATTGCCAATCACACAACCGATTTTGAGGGACGTGAATGGAAGAAAAAATGATGAAAATTTAAATCGTAATGAATCCCGTATCCCATTCACCGCATAATAAAACCCAATCACAAAAAAATGACACTACAGTAGATACCACTTGATGGATAGTTCATAATGGAGTGAATATCTCTCAAACGAGTTATTACTCCCAATCATGTTCAACCATCCAAGCATCCTCTAATCGCAATCCGGATTCTTTAAGATCGCAACCTATGTGCCCCCATTTTTCTGAATATATCTCATCGCCACTTCGGATCAATATCTCAAGTGCTTGTTCGAAACCTTGCGGATCGCGATGGAATGGCTCTCCTTGACCTCCTGACTGCCTTCGTTGCCAATGATTTCTGGCACTTGGATCATTTTTTTTCCATTCTGCTTCGGCTTGAACTAAATTTACCAGAAGTTGGAAGCCTTCACCTCCCATCGTGTCTTCCGCCAATTTGTTCATGTCAGCTGCCGTTTTAGGGGGCATATCTGGGTTGTATTTTCGACGAAAGAGCAAGTTTAGATCAATTGTTCTTCCCACATCCATAACCCAGCCCGCCTCGGCCGTGTCTAGCTTAGTACCTGCCATCTGGAGCCTCTGGTACATGTCACAATCAGAGGAGTAATAGCTGATCATTGGGTCCCATCCACCCATTTTTACAAAGCTTTGCACGTTATTTAGCGCAAGCCAATCGTACTCGAAGAAGCGAGTTCCCCATCCATCGTGTCCTTCCGCATAATCAGGATCCGAGGTTCTCCGAAGTTCATCGACAGCTCGCATGTATAGAGACTTGTGAGACGTCGCAGGATTTCGTTGTTGATTTAGCGGTGCATGGCTTAAGTCTTCGTCGGATAGTACGATCACATCCATATGACTCCAGAAATAACTCTCCCATTCACTCTCGAGTGCCGTGTAAATATAGAAATTCTGAAGTTGGGAAAAGGTAAGAAGGGTTGGCGTTGATATTACGTTTACTCCAAAGACGTTTCTGAGTCGATCGACATTCAGATACGAAGGGTTCTGAAGGGTGATCTTTGGCTTAGAAGCAAAGTTAGATCTCATTGTACCAGTATTATCCACGACATATATATCTTCTGCAGGCCACCCTGCAGTAATATATGATAAAATGCATTGCTGTAGTAAAGGCCAGTTTCGAGTGAAACCTATGAAGAGAGGAGTTTTCTCCGGAACATGCTCCTTGGGAGGTCTGTTCCACGAAGGTATGTCTGGAAGGGTTTTGTACTTAAAGCTATCGACAACTTGGCGTGAGGTATGCGAGCCCTCGACATTCAAAAGTTGTTTGTGTATCGGTCCTGGTGGTCGAGCTCTGACGGCCGGAGGTGGAATGAATGGTCCTGGTGCCTTGAAATCGCCCTCCTCAGCAATTCCAACTCGTTGCGTTGCCAAATTTGGTGTTTTTGTCCACAAATAGAATATCAGCACGATGTATAGCAGGAAGAGGACAGAAGCGCCCTTGTACCTTGCCATTTTCAAGTGTTTTCGCGGAAAGTAAAAAACATGATCCTCTTAAAGAGTGTGCAGCTTTAGAGATAATCATCAGTTTTATTTTAAACTGCAGGTCCAACGGATTCGCATATGATTACGACGATACTGTGGACAGGTATCAAAATAATGAAGCTTATAATGCGGGTACTGTATCTGAAAGTCTCGCCCCCTCTTTCTTCCCTTCAATCAAATATCTCCTGAATACTGAGTTGAGACTTCTTATTGTCTGAATTATCTCAGACAGCGAGGGCTGTAATGCAGATTGGCCCCGATAGTTCTTTTCAGACTCTGATACACCTCCAATTGTACCCGATGAAGTAAATCAACGACAGCTATAGCTATTGGGAAGATCGCTATCCTATAATCTATCTGTGGAGACTATGCCAAGTCGGGATCACAACTGTGGGCCGGTCCGTGTTAGCTCTCCACCTGGTGACGAAGGCTTTTTGTTTTGATCCGGTGAGGAAGTGAGATCGGTTTCATAACTCGCTGATTGGGTTTTAAAAAGCAAACGTTTCCGACACACGAATTTTCGTGAAACGGAGGCAATCGTCCATTTTCACGTGACCAATCTCCGGTGATCATATTGGTGTATCACCTGTAGGGCTGAGATTGTAATGGAAACATGGCTTGGACGATACGGCAGAGCGCAAAATATATGATTCTATAATCGCATCTTTTTTTGACAAATCGACTCGCGTTTAGATAATTCTGTCACGTGGTGGAGTAGGGAAGGAGGGAAGCCCATGCCCAACATCTGAGGTCCGAGGTCTTGAAGATACCGGACATAGACACGCAAAGTTATGCCAAGATCCATGATATGGAATCATTGAGGGTGCCGGGCAATTCTCTTCCTTAATCAAAATTGGACGCGAACCCCTTCATCGAGACGAACATGTTCATCACAACAGATATTCGGAAGAAATACTGCATAACCTACAGCCATTGCATGCTCCATCAGTTCATCTGCACAGAACAAAACGTGGACTCGGGGTACAAACTAAGGCTTAATGATGTAACTGGAGATTGGAATCTTCTTCTGCTCAGCTTATCGCTCAAGATATTGAGCCTCAAAACGAGGCGTAGCTCTGAGATGACATGATTTTACTTCCTTTTAACCAATCATGTTCGTTTATTCGAAGGATTGTGGCTCGTCCAATAAATCACAGCCCCGCTGCTTACTTCCACGATTCTGAAAGCTTGGCCTGCACTCGTGATATACGAAATCTGCCTTGCTCGATTTTTTGACTCTATGCGACGTGCCGTGCTTGCATTTTTTTGATTTCTGCCTCTTCGTTTCGATCAACCAACCAATGCAAGTTTGAGATAAACTAAATGTGAGTAATGCTTCGTTATCGCAATGACTCTACGCCTTGATTTCCCCTCATTCTGTACACATTTACCCTAGCTCCCTAGGAAATGGAATCACGTAGTTGTACCAGTCACATTGCACACCATAATCTGTCCTTTAGGTTCTAGGCAAGCATCGCTACTAATTGTTTCCAGCCCTATTGCTTCATTACTATTGGATAGAATCTGAGTCAGTTGAAAGTCATCGGCGAGCCAGTGGTGGATACGCGCAATTGCATCCCCTGGTTTATTATTCACAATGCGGATGTTATCATGTGTGGCTGAGGCTTGGACTCACATTTCCCTTGATAATTGATGTGGTGAAAGGCCTCCGAGTTTTAGATTGTGTGATCCAATCCAACTTTAAAACCAAGATGTATTCCATTCATTGACCAATTCCTTTCTTCTCATTTCTTCAAACATTTTAGACTGTACAAAGGTTGTTGTTTCATTCGACACAGACCACAGTAGGGCTGCATATTAGTTCGTCTTTCCAGTCACCGAATTAGTTTTGTTATTATCTACCACTCCTATCGCCCACCAAACACTTCCACAACCCCAACTATGTCTCCAACTGGAGTTGCCTTCCAAACACAAGTCGACACTCTTCTGAATGAGTTGTCAGACTGCATTGGATTTTGCCATCAGATCCGAGAAACTCGTCGACTAGGTACTAAGCACGAGAATTTCGACAAGCTTCAAGACACACTCCTCCACTCACATACCACCCTCTCCGTTCAATATGATACCTTGAATCGATGTTTTGGGCACCGAATGGCTGTCGGCGATGAAGCATCCATTCAACCAATGAACACATGTCTCCGGGCAGTATCATCTAATATCAAAAAAAAACTATACGAGATCGCCAATAAGACCACACAAACCTCGGGTTCTAGACAACTTCCCGGCTTCGGTACTCTTCTCCAGCACTGGAAACTCATTGAAGAAGACGCTTCCAACATCATAATCAGGCTTTCACAACGTCTAATTATTACGCCACCTTCTTCAACTCATATTCCAACTCCCGCCACATCACCGAAACCAGAACCAAACGTCAGATCAGATCAACAAATTGTTTCTAAAAGCGATTTCAAATTCTTGGTGGAACATATGCAGAAATCCTGGACGGAGAAGTGGAGCAACGACCAATTAATTTATGTCAACTATTATGATCAGAAGAACAAAGTCTACGAAAAGCCCGACGGATTCATCAAAGCGGTCCCCACATCTTACAGACCTGCGAGGACGGAAAGTGTATCTGGCTCAAGAACGAGGAACGGGGACTTGAATGAAAGAGAAAGGAGAGGTTATGCATTCGGGGGGTCGAATAGGCCTCAAAGGGAAGATTTTTGGAGACAATGAGATGCGTACTGTACAAGGAAAAAGGTGCGGTTTTCAGGAGTTGATGAGATAAGGTTTTTTGAAACGAGGTGAAGATATGGGTTTGGTCACGCTTAAGGTGGGACGTTATGCGGAGTTTGATGCGGTATGAGGAAGGAGTTTTGGGATGTCAGGATTATAGGAATAAGTCGCCAGTGTGCGCAGGGAACCTTGGATGATGGATATTCTTGTGGTTCGACGTTTATTGCAGTATATGCTTTGGTATTATCGCTTTTTTTTTCTTTTTTTGAGAGCAATGAAAACCAAACCTTCATCTTCATCTCACATCTTCCACATGATTTCTGTACGTGAATATGTTTCAGGTGCCTGAGTTTACTGAGACTCCGAACGCACCTCACGTAATGCACCCCGCCATACCCTAGAAATATTTAGGCACCACTAGGTAAGCTCTACATAGGTTTCTTTTTAGCCCAGTAACTGATCAGTAACGAAGTTTGTTCAAAGTGCGAACACGTTGCATCACTAAAATTTTCGCGGATAAAAATGGAAAACACGTATCGTATTATGCCAATTCTTTCGACTCACAGCGGCAACGAATCCAAGCTTTTGGAGACACCATGACTTCCTAGATCGAGTTGCAGGATTTTGTTCGACTATTTGGTAGGCTGATAGAGGGATTATTGAAATAAAGAAGCTTTCAATGCCCTAGTTCAATATAGACAATGAACTTTTATTGCTTATATTTCGAGTAGACAACTAGCCCTGATTTTTCCGACTCGACATGGACAATAAAATATCGACCGCGAAATCCAAGGAAAGATATTCACTCGAGTAGTGCCGCAACTGATTTTATCGTAGTGCAGGCACGCAGGTGAACAGTAATAATACAAGCCATATAAATGCAATATGGGTAACGCTAAATTCTAGAATTTTTGTACAGTGACTAGAGAGTCTGGTGTGAGGTCATCGCCCATCCATCCGCTCGGAACTTTGATAGTATTATTGTCGGGCTTCCACACAAATTTTGCAAACTCATCATGGAATAGACGGCATGGGAGAGTAAATGAAGGGCATCTTTAGATTTTGGTTCGGTGTTCGTCTGTAATTGGAGTTGGGGTTGTGATTTGGGTGCTAGAGTGTGAGCCATGGTACTGTTCGCGTTCAGCAAATCATCAGAGCGACTACCTGCAATAAGCCTGTAGGTCTAGACCACTTTAATCCGGCCTAGATAGTCAAATCTTACGGAGTGTGGCATGCGGAGCAGCGGATTGCAACCTGATCTTTCCGCAACTCGCGGGAGAACAGTCTGAGAGCTGATTGCTCAGCTGATACAGCCTCCACGCTTTTACATGCTACTGGATGTATTGTTTTCGAATTGACGATAACGCTTGTTTCTTGTTCTTCCTATCACGCATCACACATGGCGATATTTCACCGCGTTTGTGGCCTTGAGCGATGGCAAAGGACCTCGCAATCCAATATTGAGCTGCCCATGTAAAATCGACATGGCTATGGCCAGTGAACGAATGGTTCGGAGCACTAGCCTAGCTTTGCTTCTCTGCCAATTCTTGTTACCCAAATATTAGTTTCAAAAGATTTATTTTCTTGAAATTGTTGTGATTGCATGTCAGTAATAGCTCCCACTATGTAATGTTAGGTTTCTAGCGGCGTAGAACGACCATTTCGGCCTAAAATGGTTGCGGATATCCAGATCAAACCAACTATAGCAATGAGTTCGTAAACGGACATTGAAACAGCTTCTGGGAAGCTGGCAGAAGACTGGCAACTGCTCTGATATGCTTCCAAGCTTCGAAAGACCCAGTCCTTGGATACTCTATAAGCACTCTTTTTAGGCTCGGAATTGAGCGGCTGGCAGGTAATATTATCATAAATTTACAGGAAAAGTAAAGAAATCTGATATAATTCAATATTTAATCATTTTTATCAACTTTTATTCAGTTTACGTTCGGTGTCTAGTTGAAAAATAGAGGGCATTGTTTTGGAAGTGCTAAATTTGGATGTTAGACGCGACGCGTTTGGCAGGCGGTAAGGTTAATTTCGGTGTGGAAGGGCACGTTATTTCCCCCATTTACTTTATTTTTACTTTGTTCAAGCTCAAGTGATCCAGATTACAATATTCCAATTTCAGGAATTTCCCCCAATAATAAATTCTTTATTGGAAGACGAAATGAAACCCGTCTAGCTGCCACTCAGGTTAATTTTCATACATAACCCCTGGCCAAACCCCACGTGGAACTGCTCTACAACTTGTCACTTTAGGGACCCGTCATTCCAGTGCCATTGGACTTTACAAGATGTGTTTGGGGTAAGAGGCTTGGAAAGCAAATCATTGTATGATATTACCATGATTTACACACAGAAACCATCAGATCCCTTCACCATACGATATATTCAAATATTTACTTGAAGAATCTGAGAAATCACCTAAAAACCATCAAGACCCACATATCAAAGAGGCTGAGATGCGTGGCACAAAAGTGCATCATCTTTTCATGTGACTAAATCAATGATTCTTCCTCTAGTCCTCTCCTTATACTTCTCTATCATTCATCATGTCGTCTCCTTACGCAGATCTTCCGCTCCTGCGCCCTGATAAGCAAGTTAGATTGCTTCGGCTGGAGCAATCGTCACCTGATCGTGATGACTATTGCTTCAGCTTGACGGTTCACAACTTTTGCGATGATGTGTATCACCCACGATACATTGCCATTTCGTACACTTGGGGAGATTTCGTCCCACTCATGCCGATAACTTTGAACGGTAAAAGGATGCGAGTGCGATTCAATTGCTGGTATGCTCTGTGGCAGATGAGACACCATGGCGTCACCGATTATTTGTGGATTGATTCGTTATGTATCAATCAAGACAATAATGAAGAGAAGAATTTTCAAGTGGCCATCATGGGTTCGATATACGAGTCGGCGTTGTGGGTCGCAAGTTGTATTGGCACTGGTGACACAATTGGTGCCATACAGCCCACCTCAGCAAACGATGGCGGCGAAGAAGCTAAGATCACCAGGGAGAAACTCCGTGGAAGGTTTGATCAAATACCGTATTTTGATAGAGTTTGGATTAAACAGGAAATTATACTTGCGCGCGACATTACGCTTTTCTACGGATTGAAGAGCGTCTCATGGCAAATTTTTGATATGTTAATGTGCATTGAACAGAGACTATTGGGGCAAAATTTGGCCTCAGAAGAAAGTGCTGACTGTGGTATGTCCGATACCTTGGAGAACACCGAAGATCCTTCAAGTAGCTTTTACAGATGGGGTCAAATGCGGGAGTATTCCATTCAGGAAGCCGAGATGAATTCTACCACCTTACAACTTTGTAATCATCGCTCAAATTCAAAATCTGGTACATTTGTGGATTTGGTTCTCCGCTATAAAACAGCAAAAGCTACCAACCCCAGGGACAAAATATACGCTCTTCTCTCTCTGCTTCCAAAGAACGATCTCATCCGACAAAACTTGGTAATTGACTATGAACAGCCTACATTTCATCTGTTTCATGCCGTTACACGTTTATTGTACAGTACATATGAAGATTTGGAAATTGGACAGAAGCATCAGGTCCTTGATTTGATTAGGGAATGGCTAGACATTAACGAGCATAACCTGGAAATGGATGAATACTTGAGATCAGTTCCACCTTCACCATCAGACTGGTTACCATCTTCGACGTCAGATTTGAGTAATTCCTGGCTTAAAGCAATCGATCCTCATATTAGACTTGATATAAAGGAATTGTGCCAGATTCCTCAGCAAAATGAACTCCACGCCAATCTGAACCTTCAAGCTGAGGAGCACTCGCCTTTAACATTGCTTGAACACATCAATACGTGGCGGCAGGACGATGAGAAATGGTCCAAAGAACATATCAATGAGCTTTTGCCTGCCAATCTTAAAACTTCGAGAGTTACCATTATGTGGCCAAATCTACATACGGATATCTTTCCAGCTATGAAGGAGTTTCTTGTCAATGCAGATGTTCGAGACGGAGATTTCATTGCAAAAATAGTTTGGGGTAAATCCGAAATTATATTCAATGCCGCAGATCATTGGACTGCGGCATATGCTGTTTTGCGCACGATGAAAGTTAAGGATAACGGCAAAGAACTAGGCAACGATGATGACTCGTTCATGGATACCTCCGACGACGTTCTCGACGACTCATCGAATCGCGAATCAGAAGAGCAGCAAGGCACAGATGCTTTTCTCACACTCCATAGCTGGGCCATTCCGGTGAGCCAAGACCTCAAAATCCTCACGGAAGGCGAAAATTCGGATCTTTCTGACGTATACCGGAGCCAAAACCCGGGCGTGTTAACCCTACATCATCGAGACGCCTTGATACCACTGATTTTGAACGATAGACCATTACATGCATTGCTGTATCCCGCCCCCACCGGATCGTACTTATCAACTATTCAATTAGACAACAATGTGGAATGCAAATCTGAGCCTCCTTTGAAACAATTGTCCGATTATATTAGTGACGTGTTTGGGTGAGATTCAGAAGAAGTGGGCACTGGGGACTAAAATTGGGTGTTCTGAATCAACAGCAACAAAAATTATGTCCGACAGTATTTTAATGTCAATGAGGTTGTAGTCGAGCAATAAAGCATCCTTGTTTGTCAATGTTTTATTGTTTATCATTGTTTAAGAATCTTGCAACATGCATCAAATACAGCTCTTTTGACATATGCCAATTTCAAAGTGTGGTGAACAGATTCCATCGGGTCACTCTGTTTTTCGTCTGCACAAACGGTAACCCGCTGAATTAGAATTAGTCTGATTCGGAAGACTAAGACGTCTCTTGAGTATCTTTGCAAAACCCATCTTAGCCACTAGATTATGTTACGGCCAAAGGAGGCCAATAAACTCAACCCTCACCTGGATATCTTCATTATGCGTTCTCGCGACCGAGTTAGATATCCTCAAGTCTCTCATTTCAAGGCACATACTCTTGCGGTGAAGTCCCAGAAAATTGATTTCAACATGAGAGATTGAGGAAAAGGTATGTGAAACGGAGTCAATAGCAAAGCTTGCAGACTCGCTCGTGCATTCGAAACCTCGACACCAGGACATGGTATTGTTAGGGAACAGCTCCCTTTCTCACATTTATCATCATTTTTCCAGAAGTGAAATCTAGAGGATAAAGGGTTGAGTTGAGTTTTTGACAGTGATAAAAGATTATACGACAGCTACGCGAGCTAGAAGACATTAATGTGCAGCAATACAGATCGTGATATAGCTCCGATATGTAGAAAATGAGCTTGAGACTTACCCACTAGATGATTTCATCTATCCGAGAAATGCAACTACCATTCCTGGTTTCGCGTCCCGCTTTGTATTATTTAAAGCAACACTATACTGCTTCTGAGAAGGTTTATATATATATCATTCTTTCCAGACCCAGACGGGTGAGTCACATTATACGGAGCAATAATGGAGTTTGAAATCCTCATGAGATATTCACCAGAGTAGTCGCGAAATCCTCAGAGTTGGCAACTCCTGATGGTGAGATCATAAAAAGGTTGACCTTGCTGGAAAATTTTGCTTCATTAACTTTTGGATCGAGGACTGCGTTGTTTCTAGGTGATGAATATTTCCGCAATTCTATCAGATCTTTGGCAGCGATGTGTTGAGGTGGAATTTTTCTCCGTAGTGTTGTTCATTAATATTGAGAGGTAGGAAAGAAGTATGCATGGAAAATGTGTGGCAAAAGATTTATTGATAACAGGAGAAAGAAATTAATGACGACGAGAAATATTTCAAAAACAACACTCATATTTATTCTCCAAGGAAGATATATCTAACTTGGATATGACGAGAATCCTTGAACAACTTATTAACAGATCACCTGTTCTGTGTAGAAACCGCATCTTTGTGCAGGCCATGCACCCGCATACCATTTATAACTCCCTTTCTATGGAGAAGGCTCTAAGAAGTGATGCAGTGGTTTTTTATATACCCATAGAACACTCTTGTCTACCTATCTAGTTACACCGCGGGAAATATTTCGAAGTGAATCATCAATAAAGACTATTGATCTATCCAACTCAATACACCATCCTCGGCAAACTATATCAACACTTCACTTATTCACCACTATCTCCATTGATATTCACAACACTTTGTCTCCAAAGGAAAACTACAAGATACCTGTTTAAGTCACAGCTGGAGTTGATATTTCAGTTCTCTAATATCGGACTGCGAGAGAATTGTCATCACTCTCATGCGACCGTCAACTGGGATACGTAAGATATGCAGCCATCTTTATCCCCTCAAAACTCCCACATCTATTCGTAGAACCCTCGAGCAGTGGTCTTTTGGGGTTAGCAGTCCTCAAAACAATACATTAAATTCTGACAACAAAAAACCACCGACAATCGATCATTCCATTAGCAACAGGCACTCAACAACCACAACAACAATCGAACAAACATCAACTATAAAGTATACAGCAGCATCCGTTCTCCCCGCTGAAAGAATCAACCATCCATTCACTATTCTCTGCGTCAACTTATCGTATACAAATAGAACTATCCTAATCTAACGCAATACTAATATTAACGCTACAGCAAGTTTTCAAAAACTGCCCACTTAAGTTATATGGTATAAAGAGTTAAAAGCCTCGGGGACATAAGTGATTTGTATACTAAATCGCCCTTCCCCCGCTTGTAAAGCTCTCCAAGAGGTCTAATAAATGCACATTCACTCACACGAATCTTCGAGGAAACTTCATTCTTCACTAACAGGAAATCTTCACTCGGAGCTAGAAATTCGGTGCATAAAAACCCTACATCTTCCTCTTCCCACTACTATTTATGCTCAGGGCAGGAGATTCTGAACGGAAGCAGTAGTTAGGTGCGGTATTCGTTGAAGCGGCTATAGAGTCAAAGATTAATCCTTCTTTTTGCGCGTGTAGAAATGCAAGATACATGATTCTAGGTTTATCTAGGAGAATACCAAAATAGACGTCGGAGAGGGGGATATTTTTATTGTCAAAAGATGCATAACATCCGACACCGTAATCATAATTCCGACAGTGAAAATAAACTTCCATAAAAACAGTGTGCATCATCAGATACTTAGCCACAAAATACCTCTTTCTGGCAAAGATATAATTTCCTGTCCATCCGGTCTAACATCCAGAATCGAGGTATTTTGATGATCTGGAAGGGAAATCAAACCTTTGTGTTATCTACGCCCAACTGGGCTTTATATTTACAGGGAAAGGAAATGTGATGCTCAGAATGGAAGTTTTTTTAAGGAAAAGAGTCCATTATATGGCATGTGTAGGTATTGCAATTACACCGGCAATGAATTTACAGGGGAGAATATTCATCTGATGAGCCCCGTTGAATACACATTAAAGAGTCGACGATTTGAATATATTTCATTTCCAAAACGCATATATCTCAATACCCCACTTACCAATCCACAAAAGACATAGCCAGCCCGCCAGCTAGTCTTAAACTTCAACCCAGAACCCATCCATCTAATCACCAAAAGCCATGCAGCATCTCCATCCCCAATCCCGCAGACATCAAACCTAAACTCCAAGACCTGAAAATGATATTCCTGGCGCGAACATTGTAGCAATTAGTATCTGAAGAGAAAAGCCAGCGTCGATCTTCATTCATAACTGAATGCTATCCATCCCATCCGATTCCTCCATGCCCCCTCTCATCCCGAGATTTCCTCCGAAAGTGCCACTCCCACTCACCTCACCTTATCTCCGGGCTCCGATCTATCTATAATCATCAATATACTTCTATCTAGTATACTTACTTATCGATCACTGTAGGTACCTAATCTCCTACCCATCCATCCATCTATCCATCTACCCATCCGGGTAGATATCTCAACACCATAAACCTTCAGGATAGTACTCACTCCTCGTAAGTAGATATGTAGGTAGGTAGAATATTTAGCCTCTTATCCAAATTTCCAGACTGTTCACATTCACATTCACATTCTCATTCTCCACTGATTCTTTTTCTTTTCCACGTAAGTTATAAAAAAATCTACAACTCACCATTTTGCATGCATGGATTCTTGAGCTGGAATAAAATGACAGACCCAGACCATGACACACACACAACAGAAACTCAGTCCAGTACGATTAAAAACTAACAATCATCAAAGCGAAATCTCCCATGGAGATTTTCCTTCTTCCCATGGGCTCTGAGCCTGAGATGGAGAACTACTGAGCCATGCACTCATCCCCATAGTATAGTGTCGTGCATACAACGCATGAATATGAATGACAGGGAGCCCTTGTTGATGCACCGACATTTGTTTCCTGGTTATTTGATGGGAATGGGGAACGGAGAGGTCTTTGTAAAGCTTATTTCTGTCTATTGCGAAAGAGATAGTTCGATGGCGCTCCACTCTACCGTCATGTTATTGCAAATCCAATGAGTAAGTACATCGCACGCCATGGAAACCGAGAGCCGAGACTAAGACTCTCATCCCCATCTAATAATACCACGACACCAACAGAGAATTTGGGTATAAGACAACCATATTCTGCGTAAGCTTAAATATTGGGCTCGGAGAGTACTACTCTGAAGAATATTGATAAATCCTACCAGTCCAATCTCCACGGATCCAGATATGAATTCAAAGAAGACAATAATCACATCTTTCACCCGCCCATATTCACACGACGATCAAACCCCCATCAACCACCTCCCGGAGGCCCCGACGCGTCCCGGAAGAAAGATCCCGCTGCGGCTGGTGCTTTATCGATTATCGATCCTGCATGCATGCAATATGAATCACTTCCCCGCCGCCCCTTTTGTCATGCTTCCCAATCCCAGCCTATCAAAGCTCTGATCGTCATAATATGCAAGTCACAAAATTTGTGTCGAGAACGATTCTTCAAAAACAGGGCATTGCACAAATATGTCTGCGTGCGGCCTATGGCAGGAGAAAAGGCTAGCGAATTAGGCCAGACGGAAAGGCTTCTAGACCTATATGTGAGGATCTTATAACCGTGCACTAATAGAGTATGATTTTCGTTGTAGATCATGATGAATCATGGATATTCTTTGCAAACTACTGGATTGCGTTTTCGAGCTCAAATTAAGTGATGTGACATTATTTGCTGTATGATGCGCTGGGAAGATATCTGACGTGATTGGAGTCTTGAGAACTATAATTCTGCAAGATACTTTTCACTTGAAAGAGTTACGTAAATGATGTATGAGTGCGGGCGGGAACAAGACTTTTGCTTAATGTGCAGTGCAAAAAGTTAAGCGGCGGAAGGATCCGCGCGGAAGAGTAGGGCATGGAAAAAAGGAATGACTCGTAGATGATGCAGGAGAGTGGAGATATCAATCGCAGTGCACCATGTGCAACAAAAACAAGGATAACATGAATTCCGCCTCACCAATTATGTTTCCTCCGCAAACAAAAGAAAGATAACTAAGACTCCAAGAACCAGACTCGTCGTTTCGAGTTGGAGTTGACAGCTGGGAGGACCCCAACATTACGCTTAGTACAAGACGGCGTCTGTCAAACAAAAATGGGCGCCGCTTGAGAAGAGATGAACGCAAGTGTGAAATGGTATATAAGTGAGCGTACGTGCGTTCGTATGTGCGCAACATGATTGGTGATAGCAACATTACGCACTGATATCCCATACCCATAGGGATACTAATTAAATTTTGGAGAAAGATGGTGAAACGAGAATCCGCTCACGAGGAATTGAAATGCGATATCATTACATGTGCAAAGAATGAAACATAGAAGATAGTATGATATCAATTCGCACAATGACTCAGGTTCCCGATGATAGCGGAATAAGAAGATGGAGATCTAGGAACTGAGATTGTTTCGGATGGGTTTTAGATTATGATGATCTCTCTACAAAGATCATCGTAAGATATACCCTTTCCTTTCTCCAAACAGGAACTTTAACCCAATGCCGTTCCGGCAGTTCTTTCGAGTTGTGGAGTTGTGGCTCATGAGTCAATTTGTAAGACAAGACTCCTTTGATTGTCATCGGGAAAAGAATGCTAATGTGGGTAGTGTGGCGGTAACAATGGAGAAGTACTAGATCGAAATCGCTAGGAGAGAATGGAAGTAATTCGGGATCATCAGAACTGCGTGCCGTGTTTTTCTTGGGAGTTGTGTTAGGAAGTCAGTGTTCGAAGATGTGTGTGGTGTCTTTTCCTTGAAGACTAGGAGATTTTATCTTAGGAAGACCCCTACTGCGTAGGTAGTGTTGACGATGATTCATAGGAATCATAGACGAAAGGCTAGACAACAGAATAGCCACATGCTAACCTTCAATCCGAAAAAAGCACATAGGCACGAGACATTGAAACTAACTGCCTTCGCCACAGAACTGAAGAAAATTACTTCATCACTACCAAGCAATAAGCATGGGTAAAACGTGACATTTAACTCGCGATGCCAATCTCGACGCCATGGTGAGAAGCTAACACGACGATCATGCGGTAAGAGGAGACTTATTTAGACTGCTAAATAAGTCTCCAAGGCTTGAGAGGCTAAACACGGGATATAGTGATGCCTCTGAAAACCCCATCCTTTAGGGCCTTAGCTTAGGGGTCCGCCTATCTCTTTAGTGATGGTGTAAAGCTGTAAACTAAATCCACACTATCAAAGTCCAAGCCGGACCCTTGGAATTCGGAGTATCTGATTTGAGATATGGGAATCTTAACAGACTTCTGCGCTTGTATTTTTCGATAACCATAACTTCCATTCTAGAATGAGAATGAGAATCGAGGAAGTGGGTTGGAAAGTTTCGAGAAGATTCGTATTCGACGATGTCCATATTTCGGACATCCTTAAGAGCAAGCCCCTGGCGATCCAACCAATAGAGGCAAAACGACACCCCATAAAAGCACTCTCACGCAGCCCGGCTTTGTCCCAGACATCCCCATAATATCTCGCGGTACACAGATTCCGCCTTTCCATCTCGTATCAATGACCCAACGAATTGCCCAGAAAAATGAATGCAATTTTCTCACGCACGTTTCTCTTTATGATCTCTTATTCGGTCTCCAGTCTTTCCTTGTTTTGTTCGAAAAACGGTTCTTGCTTTTCGGGATAAGCCGATGGGCCGACGGGCCTTTCATTTGGCGATGGAACTGGGCAATTTCCAGAGCCAAAGTACTGGGTGAGACCTTTTGAGGCGAAGCATTTCCAGAATACTTGTTTGATAAATTATACTCCGTAACAAGAGTCCTGATGTGGAAAATGTAAGGACAATCCGAGGAAAAACAAGCTTGTGGGATCTAGGAAGCTACGTCAGGTACCAAGATTATGTTACAAACTGTGTACTTGTTTCTGATGCTCCTTGCAAAGGCAATCTTATCATAAGAGTCCTCGAGGGAGTATATATTGGGTAGGGTCCCATTAAAAATAGTATCGTTGCATGTCTACCAGTAACCCTTAGATTGATATAAGGGGAATTTCCCACTGATTCACCCATCTCGAACTCAATTTCCTTGTTCCAAACGGAAAAAAAGGGATGGAACACATTCAACTTCTTGAATATTCCTTCCAAATCCCAGAAATTCTCCGAATCTGATGAACCTTATCAAATTAGGTTATTAGTGGTTCAGTCACATGTTCCTGGCATTATACGTTTCGCACTTCTTTATGCTCCAGCTCCAAACGTATATCAGGCAAGCGAGGCAAATACACACAATACGGTACCTACATGAGATCCGCTGTATCGCTGTGTACATGCATATCCATCCAAATATATACATACGTACGTGCAATAGTTACATACTTTCGCTACGAACGAACCAACCTTTCAAACCCTAAGCATCCCCGCATACTTCCCACCCCTACCCATAAGATAATCACCATCCACCACCAAACAAAAAGGAAAAAGCATTCGCCATCCATTATAAGAATAAGATTAAGCATTCAGGTAAACTTTGCGAGCATAGTGCGGGAGTGCGTGTGCGTGGGCGTGAACGTGTGCATACCATTACCGAATTCGTCCAGCTACAGATTTTATTTATGTTGTAGTGGTGGGATGATGTTTGGTAAGGCTTGTGAGTGGGCGATGTGGGGGTACTTAGGGGAGTATTCATGTGCGATTTGGGGTTTGGAGTATGTTTGTATGTATGCTGTACTCTAGCCTACTAGGTCCTACAGTACGACTTAACCTCAACGCGCAGCAGTGGTTATATTGTTATTGGAGCGCCAAAAAGAATAGAGAGGTCTATTTGAGAGACCGGAACATCTAAATCTCGTATCATATTTTGATACTTCGATACTATACTAATGTATCTAAAATTCCAGAGTGTTGAGAATGCTCCCAATTATCTTTTTAAAAAGTTATTGCGTTCAGATGTGAAGTCGAATATATGTTGGTGGCTTTTCAATTAGCAACGTCCTGAGGAAGAAAAGTCGTTCAAGCCAAGCTGTACGCATCCCACGTTCTGGAAATCCTTCTATTCGTTCTCACCATACAGTGTGGAAGCGGGAGGGTATGGTAATTCGTATGTCTCTATGTGTGTTGGTGGCGCATCTGGAGGGGAACCCCCAAATCTCCGTCCCATGTCAATCTCAATATCACTGCTTTGCTCCGAAAGGATTCGGAACATAGCATCATGATAATGATCATGTCTGCTTCTTGGCACGGGGAAGGTTTTTGGGGTTACTTTCTCCTTTGCGAAGAGATTAGCCTTGTTCACATTGGAACCTTTTCAGTCACATGCTTTTCGATTCTCCAAGACCTGAATCCTGATGCTGGTGGGTTGGCTCATGTTGTGTAGTGTAGATGGTAAGATATGCAAGGTGATAATGCTGCTCGACGATTATGGTTGATCAGATACCTGTTCGCGTGGGGTTTACTTGAGTTTGCACGGTATGATCACGTATTGCGGGCCGTCTGTGATGGTGAAGTGAAGAAAATCGAAGAATGAGTGGATGTGAGTATTTTCATCGCGATGAGCATTATTAGATAGTAAAGATACAGCATCTTATTACATACATACATGCATACATACATACTTACTTACTTAACATGACGGGTGCAAATCTAAATGGATTTGGAGCTCGGGAGCTTGGATTTCCCCTGCTTCTGCTGATTATTGTCAACACTGAGGTTGCCCGTTTTTCTTGGCTCTGGCTCGCTTGCTTCACATCACATCACATCATGATTTCTGTGGGAAGATCGTCATATTCTGACCCGTCCTATACCCAAAACATTTCCAGGCGGACGTAACGGCGACTACCGTAAGAATGCCGATGTAGGTCTCAATGTAAATTTGTCTAAGCGCGAAATTCACGTATCCATAATGCCCATTAAATAGACATAAAGTTGTTGATGATCATGAAGATCCTATCCACATTGATCTCATAATTTTGCTCAATATGAATAAGTGAGCAAGTGATATTCAGAAGGTAAGTCGGGTATCCTATTTTCTAGCCACCCCTGTTTTAAGTCACTTTTTATTATTCAAAATAATAATAAAAACTTTCTTATTTATCGATAGAATTTATTAAGGTGTTGTATATATAAAATTTAGATCGTTTTAAGCTTGTTTTGAAATTTTCAGATTTCTGAGATTCTTTTAAATGAAGATCTGAAGCTTTAAAATATCGATTTTTAAATTTATATAAGAATTATATATAAATTTCAATATTTATTGTAGAAACCTTTAATAGTCTTTTATTAATTTCTTTTAAAAATATACTATTTATTTTTATTGAAAATTTATAATACACTAGCTCTGAGAAATTCTTTAAATTCTTTTAATAAATGAGTATTTATAGAAATACTTTCGAAACTATAAAGATTATTTACTCTTATTTAATATCTATTTCTATAATTATTCATTTTTTCGAATTTTTTAGAAGACGGTTATATAGATTCAAATTTCAAACTTTGAAAATTATATAGTGGTTTTTTTATCATTAATTTTAATTAAAAAGTTATCAAAGATTCAAAAAAAGTTTTCAAATTTATATATAATTCTCATACGAATTTAAAGATCGATATTATAAAACCTTAAAAATCAATTCAGAAAAGTCCTAAAAATCTAATTTTTAGAATAAGCTTAAAATGATCTGTATTATATATATATTAATCTTCAGTAAATCATCTCATATTTTGATAGAGATATTAATAAACCGAAAAAAGCACTTTTTGATTTATAAAGGTGGCCCAAAATAGGGGTGGCAAGAAAATGAGGGGTCCAACTTAGTCCAGCATATCAAGGCGTGACGATTTTGGTTTTCCGAAATGGTAAAGTCGTGACTAAGGTTTGGCTTGGTCCTCCAGCTAAGATATCTTACCCGCTGTCAAAAATGAAGCTATTGGAGAACTCGTCAACATGATAGATTTAATTATATTAACAATGCGGGAAACGGGTCCATAGAAGAATGAAACCGCACGTGTTTGATTCGCACTCGATCACCTTGAGCTCTTTCACGTTCGAAACAAGGTCATGTTAGACAAAGACAAAGCAAGACGGACAGAATCCAGATCATCATGTTGTGTGACGGGTTCGGACAATTATCAGCATCGGTACAGTATCAGAATCTTTTGAACGTTGTGTTGAAGATATCTGATAGTAACCCAAGCCAGTCGGAAGGAAGTAGTTGGACGGATTGTAACCACAAGGTAACAATCCCGAGAAGTGAACCAACCATTTTCCACCCTGGACTGATACTATCTGATCCCGAACCGTGCCGTTACTGGATAGGAACTGGGTGCCATTTTGAAAGGTGGATGTTGTTTCCTCATATAGGACCGAACCCCGAAATAATCCTGGGGAACGTGCGCAGGTCCAAAATTGGCTACAGTGAGGCTGCATGGAACGGCGATGGCTAGGATGTGGGAATCCTGGAAAATCCTAGAAATGTCTCATGAACCTTGAATACGCCCCAAGCTCGAACTGATGAAAAGGGTCCATGGTGGTTCCCGACTCCCCGCTTAGCTAATGGAAAGAGAACAGAACAGAATACGAAAAGAGACAACTCTAGCCAGTGGCGATGGCATCCCCAACTTTTCGGATATAGGCGAAATTGCTTGAACGTTGGCACGCTGATTAGATGTTTCTTTTGCGGATTGATTACCTCGTAAATGGAGGACGTCGATGATTCCTTACAAATGAATCTGACCGCGCACTTCTATCATGAATAAAGTTCCAAAGATAAAATAAAAGGAAGAGGTGGTGGGGACGGAGATACAAAATCTCATAACATTAACACTCATAGTCAAGGGAAAAAGTATGGCGGCAACCACACACACTATGACTGCACTGCATGTAGATTGTATTCAATCGGATCGAAGTAAAAGAAGAGTTCCGATACAAATATCCCACGTCGATCGATATATTGAAACGTAAATGCTGCTGTAACCACACTTGTAACATGATTTGTTGGAACGATGGAAAAATGGCCTTTTGGGCAGATATACTTCCGACCTCTAGATTATCGTGAGGCTGTCAATGATACACAAAAACAGGAGACGTGAATAACTCCAGCCAAGGATATTGTCTAGTTCATCTGCTACGACGTCAACGTGTACGTATGTATATTTATGTAGCATACATCATGTAGGGTCTGTGTGAGGTCCAATCCATGGTTGAGAACCTGCTGTAGCTGAGCATGAGAGTTTGAAAGAAGAAAGTAGAAAGGTATTTTCTGGTACCTGATACTACACAACATGAGAAGCTGCACAACTTGATTCTCTCTCGTTTCCAGGAATCAGGAAATATCGTCCCCATTTCTCAAAGTTGTCTCAGTCTAGACGAACACCCATAACTATTTTCATACATTCAGCAATTGTTAGGGACAGATACTTCGCTGCGCCTTAAGGGCAAGATAGATATCAAAAAGACGCGCAGGCTCCAAGACTCGATGGAGCACAGTACGCCGGCACCTCGAAGGGTTCTGTCAAGGGGAGCTGTTAGACCCCCGAGTATTACCCCAAATAGGACAGAAATGGGGGGAAGAATTTAAATTATTGCTACCAATCAAGAGCCCCTGTGAATGAAGTTCCTTCGATTATCCCTTCAGCATTGGCCTGAAAAGGGAAAATGGATTATGAAGCACATATGATTTCAATATCACACGATTTGACCTATAAAATACCTTGCCTTGTATTTACTCCTTGATCGCTCCCTGAATAAGCATGAAATACAGCGTAGAGCTGAAGGAGAATCAACGTCTTTCTTCGCATCACATGGAGGGGAACAGACATCATCAATATCATGCCTTGAAGAAAGGTATCGATCTGAGAACTGGTTGATCATGGCTAGGTGCTTTTGTTTCGTCAACCTATCGCAATGCCTGGCCCTGTAGGATACTCTCAACAATGCCAAAACTGGACTGATGGACCCCTCCCTCTTGCGTGACTTTCCTCCAAATCCATTCGAATATTTCCCTGTCATGTACTTCACGAAACAATAGAACTCGGATTAGAATCGAGACTAGAATCGAATGCCATTGATATTGAATTTATTTGAATTTTCCAAGTATCAATTCGATTCGATTCGTGGGAGTGCTTTTTAGTTCTCTCTCTTTACCTTTTTATTCATAACATTCTCGCATTCTCTAGTTCAGCAATTCGTAACCCCTTCACTGCCTCCTCCTTGCCATTTTCACTCCCATCAATTGGTTCTTTGCAAACCCGAGAATCCTACACCCACCGTCAATCCAGCAAAGCGCAGCCCAGGCACAGGCCTGTAATTGGTATGTGCGGCCGTTTCGTCACTCCCTCTTTCGGCGTTCTCTTACTCCACTAAATCTCACGAGCAGCCCTTGCATATCGAATCGAATTAACTTGCCGAGCGTGCATCTCTTATTGAAGAGGGAAAAAAGAAGCAAAGAGCAGCGACAAGGTTCGAACAGGTGAAGCTAGGGAAAATGGTAGAAAAATTGTCCAACAGTCAATCAATCGGTCGTCGAAGTAACAGGAAAAAAGCTCGAATCCTTGTTAATGTGGCTTCGTACTGTGTACTCCGTAGAACTAACTGATTAATCATTAAACCTTAGTTTCCATATCCTTACTGTTTAGTCGGTGGATGGAAAAGGTCATATAATTGGAGGAGGAGAAGAAGAAGAAGATAATCCAGGACTCTTCTTGATATGATAGAATAGGGGAAAGCTGTCCTGTGAACAGCATTTCGTCCCTACTGGAAAGCCACCAAAAAATTAAGATATCTCATATACGAGTATTATTACACGTTACAACCGTCTCCTTGGACCGTTACCAGAAAATCAGAGGAAATCAATTAGAAATCAATTAGAAATCCATTAGAAATCCTTGTTAAGGTTTTTCTCTCTTCATAATAATGATGATTAGACTAAAAGATATGCCAGTAGCGGAGAAGAGGAAATAGAGAATAAAGTCAATCCAAAGAGTTGAAAAGTGCGGAAAGTCCTACATTCTCATTATTACATTGCATCCATCATGGTCAGTGTAGAGGGTACCTCGTTCCCTCAAGAATCTGTCAACACCAAACGTCAAAAGAAATCATCGAATTAAAATCTAAGCTCTGAAATCCACCACGACATCCACCAGAATTCCACATTTACAACTACCTAGGTAGATTTCCTGTTTGCACGGTGCACAACTTCCCAAATCTGGGGGATCCATTTCATTACAAGGTAAGAGAAGAAGTACCAACCTAGGAACTCCGCCAAAAGGAAGATAGTGGTCCTTGAGTAAAAGAAAAAGAGAGTGAGATTGAGAGTGAGATTGAGATTGAGATTGAGATTGAGAGTGCGAGATATAGTGAGAGTGAGGGTGAGCGATAGCGAGGAAGTGGGAGTAGAGGGAAGAGGGCGAATTTCTTCCACCGGTTCTCTCGAATACGACATTCACTTCGACTCCCGCCACAACTACCACTTCAATTACATTGACAGTGACAGTGACATTGAGATCAACATCAAGACATCGACATCTCCAGCTACAACCAAGAACGACTATCAAGAGTACCACACAGCGACAGGCGGCCAACGTGACCGACCACATCTTCATATAAGAGGTGTCTACGAATGAATTCGATTGGATC